ATAAATTGGTAAATGTAAATGAATTTTGTTTCATATGGAGTTTAAATTTAATAAAGAATTAAAATAGCAGTAACAGCCACATTAAAGAATTTAACAAAACAAAACAAAACAGGAGGAGAAGGAGGAGGAGGAAAAAGACAAAACACAAAAAGGATTTTAAAGGTTACTACTCCAAGATCCTTTTATTCTCTAGGAATTGGTAAAGACTCTAATTTACATTTAGGTTTAATAGGTTAATCATTTCCTACTGTATAAGGACAAAAGTACCAACAAGACTGTAAATGCTACCATAGTAGGAAAATGAAATAATAGTTAAAGACTTAATTCAAAAGAAGTCAGAAAGTAAAGGTATGCTTGAAATGACTGAGAAAAGTAGCAAATGATAGACTTAGTCTAGACATTGGAAGTGGCATTTCATATAAAAACCAGAGATTTTTCACATTGGGGAACCAAAATCCATTTACATGCTGCTTTCAAGATAAATACCTTACATAGCATGTATCACATGTCCAGAAAGGCAGAAAGTAAAGAGTTGTGAAAAAGAAACTGCCAGGGTCACACAGCGGCACACACCTTTAATCCTAGCACTCAGGAGGCAGAGGTGGGCAGATCTTGAGTTCTAGGCTAGCCTGGTCTACACAGGGTTAGAGACAATAATCTCAGTGTTGCACAAAGGACCACATGAACAAAGCAACAGTAGTGTGGCAAGGCCATTTTTCTTGGAATAAGGATGCACTGAGATCTACACTTGGCCAAGATAGATTCTGTCTTTTGTACCTGTTGTATGTCTGTGTTGTCCCATCCATTGGTGGGAGTGCAGCTTCACAATTTGACATGGTTGTCTGGTCAGCACAAAGGGGAAGAGGAAGGTTCAGGAAATAGGAGTCCTTGCCAGACTAACTACCTTTTGTAGAAAAGATATTTCTCACAATAATGAGTTTCAGGCAGGCTAGGACTGCATGGTAAGACCCTTTCTCAAAGAAAGGACAAAATTGCAAAAATTAACCTAATGAAACCTGATATAGCTGTGTTAATATCAAAATAGCTTTAAGGCAAAAAGTGTAAGATGAAAAATAAAAGACCCAGAGACTGATATTGGGGTTCAGGCTTCAAGCTGAAGATCAGAGAAGCAAAGCAGCCAAGCCAGTAGATCTTACCTCTACCCAGCTGAAATGCCAATCCTGTCTCTAAGAACCCTCAGAGGCAGAGGCTTCAAATTCCTGTCTCCTCCCTTTATTCCTTTCTCCACCCAGCTATATCACTCTTGTCTCCATCTCCTTAGTGCTGGGATTAAAGGTGTGGGATCCCATGCAAGAGCTGTTTCCTTAGGACTGGATCAATTTCGTGTAGTGAGTGTGGCCTTGAACTAATATAGAGATCTGACTACCTCTATTCCTGAGTCCTGGGGTTAACCCTATAGCTAACTAGTATGGCTGCTTTGCTGTTTTGATCTTCAGTGGCTTTAATAAATCATTAACAATGTATCACCACAAAAAAGGGTACAGAGCAGAGAGAGAACATTTCAAAATCCATAAGATGTTCAAGTTACCAGAAAGATAATTAGAAGCTGTGGCTGGGTTGGGGGCTGTAGCTCAGTGGCAGACACTTGCCTAGCATGTGTAAGGTCCTCGGCTTGGTCTTCAGCACCAGGGGAAAATGTGCGTCTGAGTACAGCCTTCAAGTATATTAGGAGCAATTAGTCACTCGGTTCACATTTCTTACTTAGATGTCAGTTCAAAATGACAGAGACACATGTAAATGTTCTTATTCTTAACTTCACAGAGAACAAAGAAAAGGTGAACAGATCCTAATCTTTTTTTTTTTTTTCTTTTTCTTTACCAGTACATTTTATCCTATGAAATCACTGGTACTATGTAGAGATCTTTCTGTGGCTGAGGTATAAACTGCAGAAGCCCTTCAAGAGTTAGAGACTTTGGACTGGCTGTGGAGGCTTTCACCCCTCTCTACCTTATTTCTACTTTCCCTCTTATCATTGACCAATCATATTAACTTCTGGCTTAGTTCTCCTCTTGTTTTTGTGTAAATGAATCTATATATATATATATATATATATATATATATATATATATATATGATTTTATCACACCTTCCTTCTTTTTTGGTTTTTGTTTTGTTTTATTGAGACAGGTTTCTCTGTGTAGCCTTGGCTGTTCTGGAACTCAACCAGGCTGGCCTCTAACTCACAGAGATTCACCTGCCTCTGCCTTCCGAGTATGGGGATTAAAGGCATCTGCCAGTCACACCCTCCTTATATGGAGGGTAGAGCAACATAGGTTCAATATCTCCTTTTCTTTCTGCCTGAAATAGCAGATAGTTATGTGCTGTCAACAACAACATTTTGGTCAATAGTAAGGTGCCACAGTGGTCCAGTAAGAGCATGATCTATTGGTAGCATAACTGTCTTAATTTGGAAGTATATCCCATAATGTTCTTACAGTGATAAAATCACTTAACGTCATACTTCTTAGGATGTATCCCTATCATAAACAGTTCATGGCTACACTATAATTTTCCTAATTGTACATACCTTGATAAGGTTTAACTTGCAAATTAGGCTAAATAAGATATTAAAAGTGATGAGATCAAGTGAGGTGAATGACGGCCGACATTGTAACAGCATTAGAATGCTATGTAGGGCTACTTGAACAGTGCTGTGATAAAACAGCCATCAGTCTGATAACCTAGCCGAGTATAAATGGGCAGGTATCATATACAGCATGGATACACTGGACAAAGGGGTGGTTCAGTGGTAAGACAGAGTGGAATGTCATGTGATTTCATTACACTATTCAGAATGACATGCATTTTATTTTTTTATTTTTGAAGTGCTAGAGATTCAACCTGGGATCCTGTACTGCTGGGCAAGTACTCCACCATCGAGCTATATTCCAGTCTCTTCTTACCTTTTATTTTAAAATTTATTTATTATTCTGTATGGGTGTGTGCGGTAACATGTGTGGAAGTTAGAGGACAACATTCAAGGATCAGTTCCTTCTTCCACCATGGAGACCAGAATTCAAACAGGCTGTCCAACTTTTGTGGCAAGTACTTTTACCCAACGAGCCACCTCATTGGTCCTTATTTAAATAAAAAAAACCAAGATTTATATTATTTTATTTTATATGTGTGTCTCGCCTGCATGCATGTCTGTTCACCATGTGTATGCAGTGCCCGTGAGACCAGAGAGGGTTTGGATCACTTGAAACTAGAGTTATGGAGTCGTAGCTGCCATGCAGATACTGGGAACTGGGTTTCTTAAATGCTGAGCACTCTCTCCAGTCCTCTTGTCCCTACTTTTTATTTTGATACAGGAGTATTTCTGATGCCCAGGCTAACCTTGAACTCACAGTCCTCCTGCCTCAGCCCCCTGAGCAGTTGGAATTATAGACCACCACCATGCCCACCTTGATGACCTAGAATTGAAAACATTCTAATTATTTATTTCTGTATTTCTGAAATTTTCCTTTTGGTGCTTTTAGGCTAGAGTTGACCACAAGTGACTAAAGCTGTAGAAAGTAAATATACTGGTGAAGAGGAACTGTTGTACTTTTTTTGTACTTTGATTTAATAAAATATATATTATCATAATGCAGTATGTGTTTTTCTTTTTTTTTTTCTTTTCTTTTTCTTTTTTTTGTGTGTGTGTGTGTGTGTGTGTGTGTGTGTGTGTGTGTGTGTGTGTGTGTGTGTTTTAGACAGGGTTTCTCTGTGTAACAGCCTTGGCTGTCCTGGAACTTGCTCTGTAGACCAAGGTAGCCTCAAACTCACAGAGATCCTTCTGCCTCTGCCTCCCGAGTGCTGGGATTAAACGCATGCACCACCACCTCACATAGTATGTATTTCTTAATGACTGGGATATGTTCCGTAAGCAGGTTGTGAAGCGACCTCTTTAGGACATCATTAAATCACAAACTTCTTGATATAGATGAAATCACTTGACATAGCCTCCTGATTCTGTCCAGAACTGTAATAAATATAAGTATTACAGAGAGGCTGCTGCCAGCATTATCTTGATACGATATTTTATAGAAAACTTAAAAACAGTTTTGTTTTTGTTATTGTTTTCAGATTATTTTGTTTTATGAATGTAGGTGTTATGTCTGCCAATTTGTTCTGGTGACTGTGGAGATCAGAAAGCTTATCAGATCCCCTGGAACTAGAGTTAGGGTAGTTGTAAGGGGCCATGTGGGTGCTGGGAAATAAACTTAGGTCCTCTGCAAGAGAAGCAAGTGTGAGGATAAAATTAAGATGGTGGTAGGACTGGTAATGCAGCTCAGTAAGCGTGTACCTCACGTACAGAGCCTTGGACTCAGTGCCATGCCCCTAAAGCGAGTACTCCATCATAAACCTATGGCAAATGTAACACATTGTATATATTCAAGTGAGTCTGTGTTGTCTGTAATTGTGTGCTATACTTCCATACCACTGCCAGCACAGTAGGTTTATTTACATCAGAATTCCTCATCACTGCAAACATGATATAGATCAAATAAAAATAAATGACACACTGAGCTGGGCCATTATACCACTAGGCAGTGAGGGTTTTCCGGCTCCATTTTAATTTTATGGAACCATGTCATTGGATGCATTTTATAGTGTGGCACATAACTGCACAGCTACATTACAAACATTAGTAGCATGCCCAAGCTTTTCATTTCATACATGCAAGAGTCCCTTCTTATCATAGAATGCTTTGATGTTTCACGGGCATCGTACATCATTTGTTCAGTTAGGCTGTATCCGTTGGTACCTACCAGCACAGCTTGTGAGAGTTCTTGTTTCCTCATAGCCTAGCCATGATAGTTAGCCATGTAATTCACATCTCTCTGAATGAGACTGGACATCTGCTGTTTAAGGGACATTTTTTGGTGTCTTTATTGTGTATTTTACATTCTGTTACCCTTCGGTCATTCACTTGCAGGCCACCAGCACTCCATGAATATCATCCACTCATTATCTTTTCTTTCTTTTTCTTTCAGATCTTCCATGGTGGCTTATTTTAATTCGGCAGAAAGCATTGGTGGGTAAACTCCCAGGAGACCATGAGGTCTGTAAAGTTACCAAAATTGCTGTCTTGTCACTTTCTGAACTGGAACCTCAGGAGCTTGAGCTGGAGGTAAGGTGACACCAAGGGACTGTCACAGAGAAGATAAGGCGAGAGCAGATATGAGGATCTGGCATGTATTCAGAACTGCATGTTATGTAGTCTTCAGACCCTGTGTTAGCAGCGGACTCTTTTAGAACCTGGGAAACACAGCCCTTTGCTTGAGGTGGGGCTGAGGGAAAGATATCTTTAGATAGCATGAAAATAGAGCTTCCATCACATGGCTTTTGCATGTGCATGTGTGTGGAAGAGGGGCATGTGTGTGTGCTCATGGAGGTGCTTTGAGTGTGCACATATGAAGGACAGGTCAACATTATGTATCTTCCTCTAGCACTTACCTTTTTTTTTTTTTTTTTGGTGGGATGTAGAAGGTTTGAGTTAGGGTCCTAGTATGTAGCTCTGGCTGTCTGGGAATTTCCTGTAAGACCAGGCTGGCCTGGAACTCACAGAGACCCTCCTGCTCTGCCTTCCGAGTGCTGGGAGTAAAGATGTGCGCTGCCATGGCTATCTTATACTTGGTTTTTGAGACAGTCCTTCACCGACCCTGGGGCTCACAGGTTGACTAGACTGGTGTGAGGCCAGCATACCCTTTCTACCTCCCTGCAGAGGGGTTACAGGCACAAGCCTCCTTGCCTGGCATCCTACATGGGTGCTAGGGATCCAAATCCAGGTCCTCGGGCTTATGTGACACATACCTTCCTCACTAAGCCATCTCCCCAGCATAACTGGATATTTTTAGAATGATCAGGTTGTTTGAACTATAGTGCTTATTAGGGTCACTGAAGATTGTGGTTCATGTTAGGAATGGAATATATGTTATTACTTGTGCTAATTAGGGGAAAGGGTAACACTTCTGTTGTAGTCCTAAAATACCATGACCAAGGCAACCCTGGAAGAGAGAGTTTATTTGAACTTATGGTTCCAGAGGGATAAGAGTCGAGGATGACAGTGAGTGAAAATTTGTCACCTCCTCCTTTCTGCTCATGTAAACTCAATTAAAAGGAGCTTTTAAAGCCAGGAGTGGTGGTGTGTACTTTGGAGGCAGGATGAGACGTTCAAGATTGTCCTTACTACACAGTGAGTTTGAGACCAGGCTGGGCTCCACAAGACCCTGCCCCAAAAATGTAAGTCAAATAAACAAAAGAAGCTTTTTAGAAGCTTAATTTTTTTTATATGATTATAAAGGAGAATGAAAAAGATATTACCACTTAGAAATAATAATGGTCAGGAACAGGAGAGGGAGCTGTTAAAAGCACCTACTGACTGCTCTTTTAGAGGACCTGAGTTTAGTTCCCAGCATCCATGTCAGAGGGCTCACAGTTGCCTATAACTCCAGGGTATCTGATGAGACTCTGACGCCAGCACACACATGTGGGAGTTTCTGTTCTGCCCAGTCCACAGACATTAGTCCCAGGTGAGCACACAGAGGCTTATATTAATTATGAATTGTTTGGCTGATGGCTCCTTATTGGCTAGATGTCCCTTAATTATAAACCCATTTTATTAAATTATGTATTGCCACAAGGCTGTGGCTTACTTTTAATGCTCCAACATTTTACTCCTTTGGTGGTTACATGGAATCTCCCCCAAGACTCACTCTCTGTGCTCCTCTTCCCAGAATTCTCCTAGTCTAGTAGCCCAGCCTATATTTTCTGCCTGGGTACATTCTGCCTGTCCGTTGGCTGAAACAGCTTTATACATCAATGAGTAAGAGAAACATATATTTACAGCATACAGAAGGACATCCCTCCCCGACCCCCCCCTTTCTCTCTCTCTCTCTCTCTCTCTCTCACACACACACACACACACACACACATACACACACACACGAATGAAATACATCTTAAGAAAGAAATAATAGTGGATAATGGTAATTATAGCTGGAACTTCAGTCTGTGCTTGCATCTGACTCCATTCTTGGTAGAGGTTTTCAGGAGAAGCCTATATTTTGCACACTTCCTCCCTCACCTTCTCTGTCTTTTCTGGGTGAAGCTGGCTCCTGTCTTCTCCTGCAGTATCCTTTCTGATTTGAAGTCTATTTACTGTTCTGCATGACCACTACTATCATCATTTTTAGTAGAGTCCTCCAGTGGCGCAGCTTCCATAGATTTGCTCAGGCCTGGTTTGTCTTCTCTAATTGGAGCACAAACAGTTTTATTGCAGATTCTAATATTGTAATTTGTAGTTTCTGTCTCAGTTGTATTTTTAACTGAGTTAGGTGTGTGGCTTGTTTGCCTGCCAATTTATTTGCTGCAGCATTTTTCAATACTTTATTCCTAGTTGTTACCAAATATTTCATCATAGTCTACTTTTTTGTTTAACTTACCATCAGTTGGTGAATGTTTAAGCTGTTTCCATTTTTAAACTACTAGGAATAATGCTTCTGTGAACAGTTTATACCATATAAGGTTTTGGGATACATAGGTTTCATTTCCCTTCAGTATAGAGTTCCTGAGTCATTTTGGTAATTCTGCTTAACTTTTTAAGGAATTGCCACACTCTTTTCCAATGTAGAGTAATATATATATATCTTTAGGACCCAAACAAATGAGAAGACATGCATTATACATTTTGATAACATACCCTCAGAGCACCAAAGGCTCATGTTCCATGCCTGCATGTCTTATGTGCCGTTATCTCACTGCTGTAATAGAGAACAGCATCATTTTCCATGCGTAGTTTCCTATCAGAAAGCTGTTTAAAATTTTATGGATATAGGTAACAAATTTGAAAGTAAAACCATTTGTTTTTGTTTTCTTCAGCAATATCAGCTTTTAATCTTGGTTGTGAAATATAAGTTGTAAGAACAGAAAAAAATGAGGGAGTTTACAATAATGGGTATTTTTAAAGTCAAAATTGTAATAAGGGCCTATCATACACTTTAGAGGACTCCTAGACCTCTGGGAAAGGGAGGGTGGTCCTACTGTCAGTGCTATCTATGTAATGCCTAGGCTTGTGTCCAAACAAAATATTTTTATGATTGGAAGGGTTCCGAAGAATCAATTTTTCTTATCACTGCTTTCTGATACGGCTGATTTTTAACCCTTTTAGGAAGTGGTCTATACTTGTCTTTTCTAAAAGTAATTATGTAGAAGATTCTAGAGTGTTCATTGGGATGACTTTTGGTGAAGGTGGTTCAGTGAGTTTATGCTTTGTTACATAGATATGTAATTCTTACAGAATTCTTTGAAGACACATTTGTCTTACAGTTAAGTTTTTGTTTGGTTTTGTGTACATACTTGTAAATGATTTCAGGAGTATTAGAAAAAAAGAGTGTATTTGTTAACCAGGCATGGTGGCACACACCTTTAATCCCAGCATTTGAGAGCAGAGGCAGTGAATTGAGTTCAAGTTCAGCTTAATCAACATAACAAGTTCCAGGCTAGCCAGGGTTGCCTATTGAGTCAGTCAGCCTGTCTGTTGTCCCAACCCCAGAATGCACACACATGCGCACACACAGTTTCTTCATTGTTTTTCTATTGCTGTGATAAAGTACCATAACCAGAAGCAAATTAGAAAAGGTCTCTTGTTGGCTATGGTTCTAGAGGACATACTCCATCATGTGGGGAGGGTGTGGAAACAGGCAGGTAAAGCATTTCAGGAGGATCAAAGAAGCTGACTGCTCATGCTTTTATTCTCACCCAGGAGAGTGGGGAGGGAAGAAAGGGAGGAATGGGGTGAGGCTATAAATCCTCAAAGCCCACCCCAGCGGCATATTTGGGAGGTTAGTCTTCACCTCCCAAAAAATTTCATACCTTCCCAAACAATGCCACCAGTTGAGGATTAAGTATTCAAATGCACGAGTTTATGGAGGGTGCTTCTCATTCAAACCACATCGGAAAGTGTATCCCATGTATTACCTTTGCCTGCACTGACTCTGAAGCCATATCCCTCAATACAAGACACTAATATTTCCTAAAGAATCATGAGTGTTTTTGCTAAATACTCATAAAGAAGCATTTATGCTAAATAGTAAATGATTAAGTGCCTTATTCTCAGGGCATAGTTTATAAATGCACTTTTAATTAAACTTTTTGTGTGTATTGTTGTTTTGCCTGCATGTATGTCTATGTTCCATATGCATGTCTGGTGCCCCTGGAGACCAGAAGAGGATATTGGATACCCTGGGTCTAGAGTTCCCAACAGCCATGTGGGTGCTGGGAATTGAACCTGGGTCCTCTGGAAGTGCTCTTAACTGCTGAACCATCTCTCCAGCCCCTATTAAATGAAGTTTTAATAAAGTTTAAAAAGAAATGCTCAGTCCTCAGAGTTCTTGAATTTTCTCATAAGAAGCTGAGGGAGCGTAGGCCCAAGTGAACGCTCCTCCAAGCTGAGGTAAAAGTGGATGAAGGAAATAAAAACAAAGATAGTTGTCTTAGTTACTGTTCTGTTGACCTGTTGGTCACCATGACCAAGGCAGCTTATAAAATAAAGCATTTAATTGACTGTCACCAGCCTTCCTTTGTTGGAGCAGCCTGGCCCTATCCTTGTCTCGACACATCCATATTCATGTCCTGTCCTTTTACCTTTGCCAGTTGGATTGCACTTTTTTTTTTTATAACCCCTAATTACTGCTCTTTAAATTCAACTAACTCTGGACCCAAATCATGTTATTTGCTGATTTCATTATTATTTTTTTTTTCTTAACGATAAGTGGAGAGTTTTGAAAGGTCCAGCTTTTAAGAGTCCCTGTAGAGCCCACTCAGGGCATTTTTTTTCAACCAAAGCACTCAGGTAATTAGCATAAATGGATATTTAACACAGATGTTTGTAATGACCTTGAGGCATAGCAGATGTGTATTTTGCAATATTGTATTCTTAGATGCCAGTTTTCAAAGTATTAATAACCTCCACCAGAACATTGTATCCTTTGAGCACGTTAGATAAAAGCAAACTGCTCTGAACCTGGGTTTGTTGAAAACTGGCATCTAAGAATAAAATATTGCAAAATACACATCTGCTAATCCTAAGTACATCCTTGCCTGGATTCTCCTATTTTATTTGTGGTGTGGCGTCTAATTACTGAAACCATAGCTGTATTCTACCTGCTTGGTCATTTCACTAACTCTTGGTGTCTACTTTTAACCCAAATGTGTGAGCAGCAGAATTCACTTCCAGATTTATACTTGAATATCCAAAGCAGATAATAATTAATAATGGTTTATCCTTTTAAAATTATTCAGCTCTGTAAGAAGCATCATTTTGGAATTAATAAGCCAGAGAAGATTATACCATCCCCTGATGACTCCAAGTTTCTACTGAAGACACTTACACATATCAAATCCAACGTTTCTGCCCCCAACAAAAAAAAAGTAAGAGTTTGATTGACATGGGCTTTGAATCCACCTTTGATTAGCTGTAAGTTGAGGGTAATTAAATTAATCTGGAAGGGTTTTTGTTTGTTTTTGTATCAGAAGACTGTCAAGTTTTGGGGGTTGTCCTTCCTTGAGGTCTTGCATTATCTATAAACTTTACATCTGACTCCTATACTTACAGATTGACTTCTTACAGGTTAAGGAAAGTAAAGAGAAGGAGAAGTTGGAGAGACGATTACTTGAAGAGCTGCTGAAGATGTTCATGGACTCAGAGTCCTTTTATTACAGCTTGACCTATGACCTGACTAACTCGGTGCAGAGGCAGAGCACTGGGGAGAGGGATGGCCGTCCCCTCTGGCAGAAGGTACCACTCACAGCACAGAGCCTACTTGCCTTTTCTAGGAAACTGAAGTAATGTTTCCTGAGCTGATTCTTCCCCTCTACTTTCTCTAGGTTGATGACCGATTTTTTTGGAATAAGTACATGATCCAAGATCTCACTGAGATTGGTGTGAGTAGATGGCTTCTAAGACCCCCTGTTATTTGCTGTTGTTAAGCAAATGTCACTTACATTAAGGTGAATTTTGAGATCTTATTAGGATGTTTCCACTCACTGAAGAGAGTCACTTAACTAAGAAATAATGAAAGCATTGCTTTTAGGCATTGTACAGTTCCACCGATTCTCCAGATAGCCCATCTCTTCAACAGTTATTTAGTTGAATGTGATGTCACATACCTGTTAATGCCAGCACTTTGGAGTCTAAGGCAGGAAACTTGTAAGTTTGAGGTCCTCTGGCTCTATAGTATGTTCAGCTCCATACTAGGCTACATAACAAATCCTAGTGCCAGAAAAAGAGGATATCAACAGAGTTCCTGTAAAGATGCATTCACTTATTTGTTTGTTTTTGCATCCACTTTTAATGTAGAAGCCTACTTGTCTGTAATGATACCACTCTGATTTTATCTCCTGGGGCATGGAGTAGGTGGATCTTTAAAGCCTGACCAGTACTGCCAGTGTTTATCAGAAGAGGCATTTATGGCAAACTACAGGGTGTGGTGAGATGGTTGCATGGAGCTCTCGCTGGTTTAATTTTTTTTTTAAACATAATTTTTATTGATGTGTGTGTGATGACATGACATATGTGTAGAGACCAGAGAACAGCTATTTGGAGTTAGGTCTCTCTTTTCACTATGGGATCCCGGGATTGAACTCAGGTTCTTGGCAGTGTTTTATCCTCTGAACCATCTTGCCAGTTCTCTTTCTGATTTGATGGGTTCCTTTTTCTTTTCCCCCCTTTTTGTCACTGTGGTAAGGGCATGTGACATGGGCAGATTAAGGGAGGAAGGGTTTCTTTTGAGAGATGATTTGAGAATTCAGTGCATTTCCATGTCAGGGAAAGCATCTTGTCATGGTGGGCCAGGAAGTACAGGCAGAGAAATACTGGCATTCACTTTCCTCTTTCTGCTGTCTGGGCCTCACCCCATGGGATGATTGCCTCCCACACTCAAGGTACATTTTTCCTTTGCAGTTAGTTCTTGATAGAAACGCATCCGAAGATGCAGCCAGAGGTATGACTCATCTCTCAGATGAGTCAGTCCAGTCAAATTGACTGAAGACTAACCATTAGATCCTATCACCTATATTGGAGGATTATGCCTGAGGGCTTCTGTGCACTGTGTTTCGGATACTGAGGACTAGATAAAAGTAATGGAATATGGTCATCTGGTTTTTTTTTTTTTTTTTCGCCTTTCTTATTTTCTTTCTTCCCATTTCCTGGTGATTCATAACAGTTACTGACATTTTATCCAGTGGCATCTTCAGACACATACCTAGCATGTCTCTATTGAGGTTGAGGCATGGGTTCTTCTTAACTCTCTGATACTGATCATATTGTGACCCTCAAAATTCAGTGACAGGGGATGAATAGGGTGTTTATGATGAGCATTTGTCTTCATGCTGGCAGTGTGGAACCTAGTGTTTGGAGAGTCTTCATCAGGCATTGGCACGTTGTTACTTAAAGCTGATGACTTAGGATAAAGATGACATTTGGCAACATGTGTTTCTATGTTCCTGTCAAGAATCTTGGATTGATTGCTAGACCAAAAGTACGGGTAGTGAGAATAGTGGTGAAAATGATGAACGCAGGCCGACGCAGGCTAAACTTTCGCCTCTTTGTTTCCAACCCTGACCTTCCAAAGACCCGATAAAGAGAATGTGAAACAAAATGAAGCTGTGAGATGAATGGGACCTGAAGAGCATAGTGACAAAAGGGAGGGTAGGTTTGAAACTGATGCTGAAGACGGGTATGATAGGGCGTGTCTGCAATGCCAGCACTCTGGAAGGTGAGACAGGAGGATTGTGAGATCCAGGCCTACTGGGCTGCAGAGGGAGACCCTGCCTAAAAACAAACACTATTTTGAGTATTCATTTTATTTTATTATGATTTTGGCATTGTGTATATGTGTGCATGTGTGAGCATGCATGAGCGCACGTTTGTGTGAGTACATGTGGATGTCACTTCTCAAGCACTTGGTTTATTTAGAGACAAGGTCTCTCACTGGCCTGAGTACACCAAGTGGGCCAGGCTAGGGACCAGTGAGCTCCAGGGAGCCACCTTCTCTTCCTCCCCAGCTCTAGGATTCCAAGCCTGTGCCCCATGCCTGGTTTTACTCTAACCAGAAGCTCGGTCCTATTTTGGTGTTTCTGAGACAGGATCTCATGCAGCCCAGACTGGCTTCCAACTCAATATGTAGCTGAGGATGGCACTGAGCTTCTGACTGTGTTTCTGCCTTGCAGTCCTCCACTTGAAATCTGAGTGTGTTTAGTTTGAAAGCCACAGGAGAAGGAATCTCTGACTTGGAACAGGACTCTCCTAATTAAGTTAGAGGACATTTTAGATGACACATTTATGGAAATACTTTTCATTGTTCATTTACTGTTTGAATTTTAGGCTGGTGAAGTAAGAGTTTCTCTAAAGTGGGTTGTGAAGTGAAGCTGAGGCTGAGAGAGCCCAGTGCACAGTGTCTGGGCACACACGAGCCTCAGGGTTTCCCAGTGCACAGTGTCTGGGCACACACGAGCCTCAGGGTTTCCCAGTGCACAGTGTCTGGGCACACACGAGCCTCAGGGTTTCCCAGTGCACAGTGTCTGGGCACACACGAGCCTCAGGGTTTCCCAGTGCACAGTGTCTGGGCACACACGAGCCTCAGGGTCTCCCAGTGCACAGTGTCTGGGCACACACGAGGCTCAGGGTCTCCCAGTGCACAGTGTCTGGGCACACACGAGGCTCAGGGTCTCCCAGTGCACAGTGTCTGGGCACACACGAGGCTCAGGGTCTCCCAGTGCACAGTGTCTGGGCACACACGAGCCTCAGGGTTTCCCAATGTACAGTGTCTGGGCACACATGAGGCTCTGGGTTTGATTCCAACTACCACAAATGACAGTGACAAAACTGAGCACGGTGGTACATGCCTGCCATCCTGGTACTTGGCCTGATTAAGCTGCAGAGTGAAATTCTACATCAAAAGTAAAAATTGTAGGAGTCTGGAGAGATGGCTCAGTGGTTAAAAGCACTGTGCCCTCTTGAAGAGAATCTGGCTTTGGGGCATAGCACCTCATCCCCTGTCCCTCCAGTCTCTAGGGTCTGATACACTCTTCTGGCCTTTGCAGGCACCATGTGCACCTGGCACACATACAGACAAGCAGGCACATACACATAAAAATAAACAAGTAGTTTTTGTTTTTTAGAGTAAACTGTGTATTTTGTGATGCAATGATCAGGACTGATTTCATTTTGTTATAGGCTAATATAGTTGAGGACTGAAAATCAGCTTTAAGGCTTTGCTTTCCTATACCAAGTGGAACACTTACGAGAGCCACATTTGTTATCCACCCAGTGGCAGGCACTGTGTTTACTTTACACGTACTGTGCATTACTCACAACAGCCTTAGGAGGCAGTAGTAGTCCCATTTCACAGAGGAGGACACTGAGGCCTAGTGAGGTGAGTGAGCTTCTGTCAGTGAGTTTGTGGGCGGTGGGGCTTGGATTTGTATGGAACAGTCTGGCACCTGTGCTGTGTTCCCTGTCAGTCAGCTCTTAGGAAGATCCCTGTGAAGAAAAAGGAAGGCCCATTTGCTCTCACCCTCCCCTAGTGTTCAGTAAGTAGAAATGGGATTGGGAACGGGCTTACGCCTGCAGCAAGCTGATGGTAGTATGTGCTGTTATTGGGTTTAAGCATATAAGCAGTGCTGTGCAGAATATGGACAACATGCCGTTCATTTCCATTCTAGACTCCGGATGTGGATTTCTGGATCATTCCCATTATCCAGGGTTTTGTGCAGATTGAAGAGCTTGTGGTTAATTACAGCGAGTCATCTGATGAGGAGAAGAGCAGCCCAGAGACCCCCCCTCAGGAGTCCACCTGTGTAGATGACATTCACCCACGGTTTCTAGTGGCTCTCATATCTCGCAGAAGTAGGCACAGAGCTGGTGAGTGGGGGACCGTAACAGCATGCAAATTAAATGCAGGCAAGGAGAAGTGTTGAAATGCAAATGGCAATCATGGACTTGAAAGCACAGTGAGCTCCAACTCCAAATACTGTGATACAATTAGAGACCGATTTCTGCAGCAGAGGAGCGGGAAGTTAGCAAATCAGACAGAGCAGCACATGCATACAGAAGATAAGAAAGTCACTTGGATGTGTCTGCTGAGTACAGGGATCCAACCAAAAGCCTGTGTCATGGTGATAAAGCTTTCTAGAACTAACCCCTTTGGGTAAACCATTGTCTTTCATTCAGAGGATTCAACTTAGCAGTGATGGAGACAGCTGTGATCTTGTATATGTTGTTTACCTGTCAGTTATGTACAGGCTTCCAAAGCTTTCCTGCAGACATTTAATTAGGAAGCATTATCAAGTCAGACTAAATGAAGGGTTCTTTAGTTTTGAGAGTTTTGCTATATATGCACTGTGCATATATGGGCTGGCCTCGAACTTGCAATTCTCTTGCCTCGGCCTACAGAGCACTGAAATGCCAAGTGTGTGTCACAGCTTGGCGCCAAGCCACGCTAAGCACATTTTTATAAGTTGCTGCTTTCTGTTTAATTTTCCTTCAGGAATGCGCTATAAACGAAGAGGAGTGGATAAAAACGGAAATGTTGCAAATTATGTGGAGACTGAGCAGTTAATTCATGTTCATAATCACACCCTGTCATTCATTCAAACTCGAGGCTCTGTGCCTGTCTTTTGGAGTCAGGTTGGGTATCGCTATAATCCAAGACCTCGGCTAGACAAAAGTAAGCACATCCATTATTTGGTTTGCACATGAAGATTTCTATGAGAATTTTTGAAGTAAAAAATAAGGTACCAGATACCTGTGAATTTTTTTCATTCCAAAACAGTAATTCTCAGGGCTGGGATGTGGCTGAGGTATGGTTTCCTTGGCCATCCTGCTGGAGGCCCTGTTCAGTCCCCTGTGCTAAAAACAACACCGACAAAAGCCACACCTGTTACTGGTGTTGTGTCCTTACAGGTGGCGGAGGAGAATAGGTAGACACAGGACTAAGTCCTCACCGGATGTTGCCATTTCTCCAGCTACACAAGAAAGCCCTCATTCCACAGATTCTGAACTGCTATTGCCTTGGAGCTTACCTTTCAGAACAGTTAACTTTGGGAAAGGATGACTGTAGCCAGTGTTTGCAGATGTGTGCTAACTAAATGATGTTAGTGAGAGATGGCTCTTCTGAAAGCTTTTTTTTTTTTTTTAAATTGAAACATTTAAGATTTAATTACTTATAATATTTTAACTTGAGTACCAAATATCATTTTTATTTTATTTATGCCACATGAAATCCTCACTGAAAGGTAGCAAGTACATGAGTGCATGTATGTCCCTGTACATGTGTGTTTATGATTTCACAGATGGCACTTTCTGATATATTTTAGCTTAGTCTATCAGGAATAAAGGAAATTTTAGTTTAAAATGATGGTTAGACAGTCTTACATTTAAACTGTTGATAAATTATTAAAATGTAAGAATAAAGATGGAGTAGGCACTCATCTGTCACAACACTGGAAGGAGAAATAGATCTTGTATTGCTTCTTTGCAGGTGAGAAGGAAACGGTTGACTGTTTCTGTGCTCATTTTGAAGAACAACTGAAAATTTACAAAAAACAGGTGGGCTTTGATATGTAGTAAGAAAAAATTCCTTGGATTCCTTGAATTACTTGGAAAAAATGTACTGTTCATAATTACACAGTCGTGTTTAGCATAAAGGGTAAGCACACTAAGCTAAGACTTCTCTTAATATTCCTAGGAATAATGGGGTGGTTATGTTAGGCTGTTTGGAGATGGTGGATTTGATGCTGTCAGTTGTTGTAGACTAAGATGGGCATCTCAGTGCCATGCACTGCTGCCTGGCGGTGACAATTTGACATGTGTCTTTCAATATTTCTTTTCTCTGTTCACACACTCACGTGGAAATGCAATCAGACAAAGCAAGATTGATTGAAAACCACTAGTTGAAAAACAAGTTCAATAATTTTGATACAAGATTAACATTTGAAAGTCAGTAATTCTCTTGTCTATTAGGAATGTCCAATCTGACTGTGTAATGACATGGGAATCATTTTTAAAGGGCAGCCTGGTCTACACAGAGAATTCTAGGCCAGCTAGCTAGCCAGGCAATATAGTGAGACCCTGTTTCAAAGAGGGGAAAATAAAAGGAAGGCAGAATACCATACTGAAAGGAGAGAAAATACTGAGTTCCTGGTTATGGATGGAAAGACTCAGTGGTGAATGATTTCAGTGTTTCCCAAATTAGTATGTAGATTTCATGTAGTTTCAATCATAGTCTCATAGAGAATAGGAGGGAAAAAATTGGAAAGAACAATTATTATTTAATAATCAAAGGAAAATTTAGAAAGTTTATAATAGTTAAAGGCAGGTATTTGCTTTTAAAAAATGGAAACTCAAATATTGTTAGCAGCAGCATAAATTGGTACAGGCATTTTGAATGTTACTGTCAGTTAAAATAAAACATGCTAGTATGTAACTGTACTTTTCTTTTGGATACCCACTATCCATTTAGCATACATAAAAATAACTTTGAGAAGGATTCTGGATCAGAATATGAAAGGTTAAACACTGAAGATTTCAGAGGACAGCATAGTGTGTCATGGACTGTGAATCCTAACCAGCTGCCTGTGTTTCAAATGTATAATTGTCTATCACATTCTATTAGTCATTTAATAAGGGGCAATGCCCATGTAGGCAATAGTTATTTTGGGTTGGAGAGATGTCTCAGTGATTAAGAGTGTGTACTGCTCCACAGAGGACCTGAGTGTGGGTCCCAGCACCACATCAGGTGACTCACAACCCTGTGACTCCAGTTGCAAGAGGGATCTGACATCTCTGGTCTCCTTGTGCAGTTGTACTCACATGTGCAAACCCCATGCAAACATACACAAATACACATAATGGAGACAGAGAGAGAGAGAGAGAGAGAGAGAGAGAGAGAGAGAGAGGAGGAGGAAAGAATGAAGTGAGGTAGCATATGTCTTTAATCTCAGCACTCAGGAGCCAGAGGCAGGAGGATCTCAGTGAGTTTGAGGCCAGCTTAGTCTATATAATGAGTTCCAGGACTAAACAGAGAAACCTTGCTCAGTAAACAAAACAAAAAAGAAATAATTATTAAAATAACAAAAGTAATGACTGGGGAGATGGCTCCATCGGTAATTTACACGGTGCAGAGGTATGACACGGACCTGGGTGTGATCCCCAGAGCTCACATGCAGCCAGGCACAGTGCCATGTGTCTGTAATCTCTGTAATAACCATGCAATACACCCGGATACATGTAGACAAAACATCCACACATAAATCTTTAATAGTTAGAATTTGGTCTTATATCTTACAGTGTGTTTAAGTGCCTTCTAAACCCAATAAAAACAATGTACAGTCCAAAAGAAAGTTGAACAAAAGAATGGAACAGATTCTTTATGTAAAAGAATAGTTTATAAAGTCAAAAAGCATGTGAGAAGATGCGTCATCCTACTAGTCATCAGGGAAATTGAAATTAAAGCCATGACTCATACACTGGGGTGGCTGAGGGAAAAAAGATGAGAAACATCAAATTTGGGAAAGGATGAAGAGCAATTAGCACTTAAATAGGAAAACAAGTCTACACATGTGTTCAGTCAAGGGTGCTTATGCAATAACACTCACCGCAGCATCAGAACAAAGCGGCTGTTCAGGGAGGCATGTGGGATCAGATGTGGCCAGGAATGATTTGGTCTTATTCTGCATTTGAGTTCCTTGATAATGTGAGTTGATTCATGCATTAATCATATTCCTGATTGTAAGTAGCATTAAACAGAATAAGCCATATTTCAATGTATCACAAAATTGTAAAAAGGAGCAGTACTGAGGTATGTATGCAAGCCGAGGAAATAACGTCTTCCCACACTCGTCCCCCGCTCCCTGCTGACTCCCACATCAATCTCTAGGTGTGTGCACTGAACAGACACTTCCTGTTTTCCAGCAGTAGCCTGGTGGTGTTCATTTGTCTGTGTCCTTCTCCCGGGTAATTGCTTTCTGGGGTGAGGGGTCAGTGTGACTCAGCCGTGGTGGCAGCGTCGCTCTGGCCTGTAACTGGTTTGGGCTGGGGCTGTCTGACAGCTGATGTATGATGTGGGGAAAGCTTCCTGCTCTAATAAAAGGTATACCAGAACCAACAATGCCCCTGTGGTTGTTGTGTCTGGATTTGATGGAGGACTTTTGCAGCTATCTCAGGACTGTGAATGAAGCAGGGCGTTTATCCAGTATGCTGCTAGGGAAGACACAATGGAGGGCATGGCAGCATAGACAGGCTGGAAAGAACTGGTGCCCGGTGGCTTCTGGAGTCACTGGATTCAGCCCTGCTACTTCCGGACTTGTTCGGATATTTGAGTTAGTTGCTTTTTGTAGCAAGAATTACCTGACACTAGCATGTTCACAATGAAAACTCAGGTCACGACAAACTGTGTGTGCATACTGTTCTGCAGTAGCTTTGTTTTATTTAAGATCTCTGGCTGCTAGCCTTTTCACTACTGATGAACCTTTAGGACTTGCCAAGCTGGGAATGGTGGTGCATGTCCATAATCCCAGAACTTGAGAGGTTGTGGAGGGGATTGCAGGTTTTAGTTCAGCCGCGGCTACACAGTAAATTCAAGTCCTGGGTTCCATAAAAACATAGACAGACAGTTCTCCCAGTGCCCACAGAGGTGTGCTTAACACACCCTCCCCTCCCAGTGGACTCAGGTCTTTGGCCTATCAGCCTTGTTCTCGTGAGTCAGTTGCCTCTTTCTAGTTCTGCAGGCTTGCCTGCTACGTAGAATGTATAGACTTGCTCCAAATGGAGAAAATTCCTGCGTTTACTGCTTTCCAATTTTTTCCCAAGCATTCACTCTTTCAGGTGAACTTTAGAATTAACTTGTCTTGCCCAGGAAAGGTACTGGTTGAGTTTTGTTTGGGATTGTTGAGTGTATAGATTAATTTGGGGAGACTTGGCATCTGTACAATGTTGGACCTTGAGATTCAGAACATGGTACATATTTCCATCTATTCAGATTTTCTTTTATATATTTCAGTAGTTTAACAATGTTTGCTTTGTAGTTTTGTTTTAAGTTACTCTACCTATTTAAGATACCTATTGTGTGTTTGGGCTGGAGAAATGGATGACTCAGCAATCAAGACCGTGAAGGTTCAAAGGATCCAAGTTCAGTTCCCAGCATCCAAATAAGGCAGCTCACAACAGCCTGTAACTCCAGTTCCAGGATGCTTTTGGCTCCTGGGGGGTATAAACACACACATATACACATGATTAACAATCTTTAAAAAACAAAACTTGCTATTACAAAGAAGTATGTTTTACTTTTTGTTTTTGTTGGCTATTGCAAATATATGGAACTATCCCCATTGATGCCAAAAGGTCTCATAAAGCAAACTTTATATAACAAATAATTTTATGGGAAAATTGATGCTTGAGTAGATTGGTTTCTAGGCACAACTGTAAGATATTTCTAAAATGTCATTCCACATGAGGATTCTGAGGTCTAGCTATCTAGCCTTTTCTTGCTCTTCATTCTGACAGGTTATTATTAACTTGGTAGACCAGGCTGGAAGGGAGAAGATTATTGGCGATGCTTATCTGAGGCAGGTGCTGCTCTTCAACAACTCACTGCTCACCTATGTCTCCTTTGACTTCCACGAGCACTGGTAAGGTGTCTTCCTAAGACGCAGCTGCTGCCAAAGGGATGTCACCTTCTCTGCTCTTTGCTGGGAAGGGAAATTTCCTTTCCTCCTTGTTCACATTTACTTGCTATTAAGTGTTTGTCAGCTTTGCTTTGGCTAGGCCTTGGAGTAAGCTGTTACTGAAGTATTTACAGGCTTTCTGTTCCAAAATGTATTGGCAACTCATGATCACAGCCGCTGAAGGATGCACAGAGCATTTATAACAGAAGTGGTAGACTGTCCTTACCCTGTTGGCTGCCTTCACTGTGAGCAGTGCTCCTGTCTCTCTGATAAACTCCTAGTGTGCTCTGATTGATCAGCCGTGAGTGATTGCTGTGGCTCACACCTTTAGTTTGCATGTATCGTGAAAGCAGGGTACGTTCGATGCAGGCCTCACTCTGCCTGTGGATAATGCTTCAGTGTCTTTGTATGTGTGCTTTCAAGTGCAAATTCGCTGTAGAATTCCTAGTATATAGTAGCACTGAACTCATATATATGTGGTAACAGTTCTTTTAGAAACTACTTTAAAGATCCTAAGGGGCTGGCAAGATGGCTCGGTGGGTAAAGACACCCCCTACCAAGCCTGATGATGTGAATTTGATCCCTAAAATCTATATGGTAGAGAGAACCAACTCCTAAAAAGTGTCCTCTGACCTCCAGTGTGAATGCCATGACATGTGTGCCCCACACCCCAAGCATGCACACTAACAGAATAAGTGAATAAAATGTGATTTAAATATAAAACGGTAGTTTCTTAGTGGTTTTGTTTTTTGAGACAGGGTCTCACAGTGTAGTCCCAGCTGGGCTCATGGTCAGAGCTGTACGCGCCTCCAGATGCTGGGGTTAAAGGTGCATCGCCGCTCTCAGCTTTTGCTTGTTTTAACAGTGCTGGCGATTGAAGCCTGTGCATGCTACCCGACTGCTCTACCACTAATCTACACCCCAAGCCCCATTTATCTTAAATAAATTTAAAAAAAAAATTACTCTGTTAGAATACTAAAGATTGGTTTTTGTTTTTGGGGAATGGGTTTTAGCCGAGGAATGAAGTTTGAGAACGTTCAAACCCTCACGGATGCCATTTACGACATTATTCTTGACATGAAGTGGTGTTGGTATGTATTTGTATTTGTTACTTTCCTATACCTGTGAAGAGACACTGGGACCAAGGCACCTTTTCAAACAAACAAGAAAACAAAGCCTTTAATTTGGAGCTCATGGTTCCAAAGGGTTAGAGTCCATGGCAGCAGGCAGGCAGGCCTGGTTCTGGAGCAGTAGCTGAGAGCTCCCATTAAAGCCACAAGCACAAGGCAGAGAGAGGGCGAAGCTAACTGGGAATGGCCTTACAGCCCACCTAGTGACACACCTCTTCCAATAAGGCCACACCTCCGCATCCTTCCCAAATAGTCCCACTAACTGGGAACCAAACATTCCAATATAGGAGCCTATGGGGCTGTTCTCATTCAAAGCATCACAGTAGTTCATAAAAAGTTGTTTTGATCTTGGTCTGTGAAATCATGTGTTCATCTAGTGCAACTAAACATCAGCACAATGACATTATGTTGGCAGCTCAGCTTCCTTCCTTCTCACTAGGGGGCAGGTCGGATGGCTGGGGAACAAAGTGGAATATCGCTATTGCGTTTAAAGCACTTAAGCTTGTCCCTCTCACTCTTCCTGGCTTCCATTTTGTCTTCCTCTTTTGCCATCTCACATGGGAAGAAAAGCTTAAAGGTATTCAGTTTTTAGGCATTTTGAAATTAACAGGGAAGGAAAAGATTCCCAGACTCCAGGAGGTAGACATGGGTGGGGGGTGTTAAAGGCCAGGAGAGAACATTTCATTAGATGTTAAGGCTGCTCGGGTGGCCTGGGAAATTAGAGGGCAGATGCTTACTGCCTTGACTCCATGGCAAGTAGAAAAGCCAGCCAGTGTATTTTAGATAGTTCTGCTTGGAGTTAGAAAGGGAGGAACAAGATAGTGTTTAAAGTGTCTCCCAGCTTATAACCGTGTGCAACTGCACTGCCTGTGGTTGCGGCAGCTCAGCCATCAGAGGGAGGGAAGCCACCTGCTCTCTCAGATTCTCATAGCTTGGCTTTGAGTTCTCAAATGGGTAACAATACCTCACTGCCAAGTTGTTCTGTAAGTCAGCAGTGGAGTCTACAGAGTACTGCCGCAGACTCAGGCTGTCCTACAGTGTGTCTCATTAATCCCATGCCTCTTTTTAACAAGGGTTGATCAAGCTGGGGTAATATGTAAGCAAGAAGGAATTTTTCGAGTTAATTGCATGGACTGCCTAGATCGCACCAACGTGGTCCAAGCCGCTATTGCACGAGTGGTCATGGAGCATCAGGTAATCTGGAGTCCGTTTGATTCTAAATATTCACTTTAAAATGGTTTACACTTCGTGTGTGAGTAAATAGTGAGACATTTTTTCAAAGCTGAAATATCCTGTGGAACTTTTCTTCAGCATGCAGAGAGACTCTTGTTGCATAAAACCCTGGGAAATGTAACTTAATAGAATTAGAATGTGGTGGCATTTTCTTAACTATTCAACTTGTAAATGTTTTAAATCTGTTTGGGACATTATGTAGTTATTTTCTATTTTTCTCTGAGCTTCAAACCCACCCTTGTGTATTTTGGGCTGTGGGTTTGTTTGGCCAGCACTGGCAGTATGGGGTAGGGTGGAGTTGGGGAGGTGGGAACTAGAGAAGACCATGATTGAGGTTGGAATGCATCAAGCCCTCTGCCTGTTGCCTTCCTGACAGCGGATGACTCTCTGGGACTTGGCTCCCTTGACAACACAGAAGCAGTGCCCCGCTCTATGGATGTCATTTGTTACCTCAGTGTCCCAGTGTAGATCTTTCAGCTCTCTAACACCTGGCAGCCAACTTCCTGTGTGGCAGTCTAAAGTGAAAACACCTAATGTAGTTCTCCCAGGGCTCCGCTCTGTTCTTTTAAAGTAGTATTTAGTCAGTAAAGCTTTTGGATTGTGCCCTGTTCCCACCACATGGAAACCTCCCCAAACCTGAGTCTTAACATCTTTAAAACAGGATTGTTGTGATGAGTGAATGAGATAATTCACATAAATAAAACAAAAACCCCTGCTCTCTGGGCACTCACTACTCAGTTACTGTTCATGTTATTGTTTCTTCACGTTTTTCTGGTGTTTGGTTTCACTTCTTAGCAAAATTTAAAACAGGCAAAAAATAGTAGTATTAGCCTGTACATTAAAAAAAATTAAATCAGTGGATGATAGCAGTGCTTTATTTAATATTTTTGACACAGGGTCTCTTTATGCAGCTCTGGCTATCCTGGAATCCAGGGACCCACCTGCCCCTGTCTTCTGAGTGCTGGGATTAAAGATGTGCACCACATCTGCCAGTTTTTTAACATCTGCTTTATTTTTCAAAAAATGTCTGAGCTGGGCATGATGGTGCACTTCTATCATCTCAGGCCTCATGACATCTCAGGTCTCTGGGACACACATAGTGGAAGGAATGTGCAGGCTCCTGAAAGTTGTCCTCTGACCTCCTGATGGTCTTAGTAGCGCATGCGCGCACGCACTCCTGCGTGTGTGTGTGTGTGTGTGTGTGTGTGTGTGCGCGCGCGCGCGCGCGCATGTACGCATGCATGCGCACACACACAAACACACCTACAAAGGAATAAATTGTATAAATTATATGTCAGTTTGTTTTCTTTTTCTATAGTATACATTTCATGCTAATGTGTTTATTTTAGCTTAAAAAACTAGGTGTGATGCCCCCAGAGCAGCCGCTGCCTGTGAAATGCAATCGGATTTACCAGATAATGTGGGCTAACAACGGAGACTCTATCAGCAGACAGTATGCTGGGACAGCTGCTCTGAAGGTAACTGTAGCGGGCATGGTAGGCCATTTTATCTGAGGTTCAAAACCAACTTTGTTTTTTTATTTAAAAAGGTACCTGGGCTCAGATGACAGGTCTGGGTACTTATTTCTTTCTGGAATGTCTGATTCTTGCAGGAGCCCACTGTTAGGTCAGGGTATAGGTGGCCTGGTGTACCATAGGGGGTGTATACTATTTCTGGTGGAGGCTGCTCTTTTTAAGGTTCCATGTTGCTACACTTTCCAGTTTTTCAAGGGAATCTGGAAATCTGAAATATTATGGGCATTTATTTTATTTTATTTTGAGACCGGGTCTTACCATGTATCCCTGGCTATCTTTGGATTTACCATGTAGTCCTAGCCATCCACAGACAGAGATCTTCCTGTTCCCGCCTCCCTTGCACCACCATGCCTGGCTGTGCGCTCATCTTAAAACTGTATATAAACAAGACATGTCTACCTAGGACCTGATCTATTCTGGGATCCTTTTATCTTCTCTGAGTGTGAATCTTAAGCCTGCCTCTTACAAAGTATGACCTTGTGCAGGTCACTTATCTGTTCAGTGACCCCAGTTGTCCACTGTGACAGATTGTTACAGGATATGTGGGCTTAGACTGTTTCCTGACACATAGTATGTGCTGAAAGAATTCGCTGTTAGTTTTATTGTTATAAATTCAGTTTTTTGAAGAGCCTACAAAACTATTCCTCCTAGAACCTTAAATGTAAATACAGCCACTGGCAACTGATTCTCAATGTGTGGGTACTCTTTATGGACAATAGGAAGTAGTTGAGTGTTTAAATTAGGCTTATGTTGATTTTCCTCCAAGATATGATTTCATCTAAGGCCATATCTCTTCTAACAAAGTGTAGCTTGCTTGGTAGAGCACTGACCCAAAATGTGTGAGGCCCAGAGTTGATTCCTAGCAAAACTCAAGCCAAAGTTGGACCAAGGGCTCAACAGACATCAGCTTGTCTACATTCTGGTTGAGTACTAAATATAAAAACTTGTTTTGTTTTTATGACAGGAATTATAAAAGTTGGCCATCTCATTTGGCTCCATGTATGTATGTATGTATGTATGATGTGTGACTTTATGTGAATCACATGCATTTACGTACCTGAGGGAGCCATAGGATGTCAGATCCCCTGGTATTGGAGTTACAGGCAGTTGTAAGCTACCTGAATTAGGTGTTGGGAACTAAACCCAAGTCCTCTGCTGGTCCTCTTAAATACTGAGCCAGCTCCCCAAAAACATTTTTAATAATTAAAGAAAACAAGCTTTAGAATTTCTTATCCAAGCACCACCTCATTTTCTTCCTCTGAGTTAGGATGCTTTGGGGTCCACACGCATGCCTTTCTATCTGTACGTGTACTAAGACTCCTTGAAAACGGGCAGCTTGTTGGCAGTATGTTCTTCCTAATTGGCAGTGTTAGGATATGGCCTGTGTCCTAAAACTTGCTGTGAAGGGGCACCATGGCCAAGGCAATTCTTATAAGAGGAAGTAGTTATTGGGGGTCTGGCTTACAGTTTCAGAGAATTGTTCTATTGTCATGGCGGGAAGCATAGCGGCAGGCAAGATAGGCACGATGAGAAGAAAGCTGCGTCCTGACCCACAGGCAGAGACTGGGCCTGGTGTGGGCTCTTGAAACCTCACAGCCCACCCTGAGCAACACACTTTCTCCAACAAGGCTGTATTTTCTTGTATAAAAACAGCGGGCTGGAGCAGGGCAGGAGGCTGTACTTCTTTATTTGTGAGGCACTGTAAGTATGGTGGTGCATGCCCGTAATTCTAGCTTTTGGGATGTGGAGGCAGGAGGATCAAGATTTCAAGGTCACTCTTGGCTACAGAGTAAGGTCAGTGTGGACAACACAAGGCTGTCTCAAATCCCTTTCTCTCCCCTCAAAATCAAAATTTTAGTTTTGATTTTATACCAGTATGAGCCTTGAAAAAGTATTTTTTCTTTTTGGTATTTATTATATAATTTGTTTTGGCTTAGAAATTCTACAAGTTGCCAGGAATGGCTTTGCCCTAAAGGGCCAGCTAACCGAAGGGTTAATGCCATGAATAAATATTACATATAGACATTTGGCGTGCTTAGGTCAGAGTCAATTACTAGTACATATTTTAATTTGACTACAATATTTGGGAGCTTTTAGAGTTATAATTTGGAAGCCTATGGAGTTCTTGTCTTGAACGGAAAGTCCCAAATGCATTTTGAGAACATTATTACATGTGAATAAATTTCCACAAATTGCCTTTTCTTTGATAGGGTGACTTTACAAGAACAGGAGAAAGGAAGCTGGCAGGAGTTATGAAAGATGGAGTTAACTCTGCAAATAGGTACTACCTCAGTCGGTTCAAGGATGCTTATAGGCAAGCCGTCATAGGTAAGAGCAGAAAGGTCCTCCTTCCTTAGGACTGCAGCTCCTTCGGGGAGTGGAATTTTGCAGAATTCAGCCTCCTGCATTTATCATGTTTTGTAATGTGTTTGTGTTTCTGTATTGAGCACCTTACCTAATGTATCAAATTCAAATTTTTATAGGCTTAGCACCTGACAAATGTTTTTGGCTGGAGGAACAAAGGAAACATATAATTCCAGATGTATTAGTTAGTTACTTGAGTAATAGAAAAACAGGATTGAAGGTCCCAGTGTGTGGGATGCAGTACCCCAAAAACCTCAACATGTAAAATATTCATAATTCGTTTTCCTGTTGCTCAAGTCATGTAAACAGCTGGTTTTCTTTTCCTATTGGTCATTTACCATATAAATACACCATCATTTTCCATAAGCATGATTTAACAGGGTGCTAAGGTGCCATATTTATAGGTTATCTCAACCAACTTGCTACTTTGTAGAAGAGGAAATGGAAAAGTAGATTACCCATAAAATTGCTGCATTAACATGTTAATTTAATTTTCACAAAATGTCATTTCACAAGATTTAAGTGAAAGTAGAGTGTTCTGGATTAGAAATGAATATGACATGGCTGATCTGTGGTCCCTAAGGAGAGCTTTTAAATTCTCTCTTTCTCTGATTACTTTAGCACACATAAAATAACCCTAGCCAATACCAGGTAGGAATCGGGGAAATCTGCCGTAAAGAAGTTGGATCCAGAACTGGGTTGTAACTCAGTTTTGGAGTACTTACCTAGCAAATAGGAGGCCCTGGGTTTAATCTCCATAAACAAAACAAAAAAGTTTGACTTATTTGCTAGAAATGAGAAGTGCGTGGTGCAATTAGAGACGTGGATCCTTTAAGATAAAGTCTCACCGTGTAATCCTGGCTGTCCTGGAACTCATCCTATAGAACATATCTCAATCTCAGAGATCTACCTGCCTGTCTCTGAGTGCTGGGATTGAGGATGTGTATCCATCTGGAGGGAGGACATGTACGAAGCTAGGGAAAGCTAAGCCTTCTCAACCATGAAATGTTTCCAGAAACACAAAACTTTGTAACTTTGATGACATCCAATTTTTTTTTTCTTTTGATGCTCATACTTTTGGTGTCCAGTATAAAAAAGTTGAACCTACTTTAAGGTGGGAAAGATTTATGCTTATGTTTTCTTTTATGATATCTGTTGTTTTAGGTCATAGATTCTAAAAGATACGTTAGTAGAGCAATGATGATGATAACTATTAATCTTTCTACCCTAGATTTGATGCAAGGCATTCCAGTGACAGAAGATCTTTATTCCATATTTACCAAGGAGAAAGAGCATGAAGCTTTGCATAAGGAAAACCAGAGAAGCCACCAGGAACTGATCAGCCAGCTCTTACAGAGCTACATGAAGTTGCTGCTGCCAGGCGATGAGAAGTTCCATGGGGGCTGGGCCCTTATTGACTGTGACCCCAGGTGAGTTGGAGGCATGGTCTAAGGACTCAACTTGCTTAATGTTCTGGGGTTAATAAGTTGTTGGGGCTGGAGAGATGACTCAGTGATTAAGAGCACTGAGTGTTCCCTCCAGAGGCCCTTAGTTTAATTCCCAGCAACCACATGATAGCTCACAACCATCTACAGTGGAATCTGATACCACCCCCCTCCAGAAAAAAGTAAATAAATAAATACATATATACATACTTCTTTATTTTTTTGTTTCTTATATTTTGGTTGTGAGCCTATCCTTCAACGGCTGAGCCATCTTTCCAGCCTGATGTTTTTGTTTCTTGAAAACGGGATTTTTCTGTGTAGCCCTGGCTGTCCTGGAATTCCCTCTCTAGATTGGGCTGGCCTCAAATTCACAGAGATTCTTCTTGTGCCTCCTGAGTGCTGGAATTAAAGGTGTGTGCTACCACACCCGGCCAAATACATATCTTTTCTTCTTGTCCATCAGAGCAACTTCAAGTGTCGGCCTCTGGTTAGACCTCCTGGCTAGTTTCTAGTTCATTATTAGATTCATTTCTCTTCCTGATTAGAATTATCTTCTAATTCTTCTATGGTTGGTCAGTCACCGAAAACAATTAAGCGAGTGGCTTTTATTGTTTCACTGGCCAGAGCTCCCACTGTTACTCTTGTTCCTCTAGGACATTAGTGTAAGCCAGAGTGGTTGTGTTTGTCAGCTGTTTAACACAAGGAATCTGCCTCAGGTCTACAATGCAAGTGTGTTGAGGAGCTCCATTGCTACCCAGGGCAAAAGGGATGCCTGAAAGGACTATGTACTGCTACTGCTCAAGTCAAGTGGTGCCAGAGGAAGCAGGTTGGCTCTTCCATGAAATCCATAGCTGCCAAGGCTTGAGTCTTCACTCAGGTCCTGGAGGCTCTCCTCCAGGTTGACCATTGAAGACTGGCTGCATTTCATAGGTAGTGCAGTGTGTGAGGATTTCCCAGCCTTTTTTCCGTCTCGCTGTTTCTGCTTTGTTAGAGACTGCTTTCTTTGAAGCTCTGGGATAGAAAGACTGATGGAAGACTGGAATGGTGGGGCTGATGTTTTGGAGCCAGTAGGTTCTTAGGTTACATTGTGACTGTCAGCTTAAGTAGGATGGGTGCTGGCTTTTCTGGTTTTAGATAGGATCTTATGCATCCCAAGTTGGTCTCCAACTCACTTTATAGCAGATGACTGGATGTCTAACCCTCCTGCCTCCCGTTTCTCAGGTATGGGCTCCATGAACATAAGGCAAGCACTTTGCCACCTGAGCTAGTTACAGCTCCAGCCCAGTATTGTTCTCCCATGCTCTCCCTCCTGATCGCTCTCTTTCCCAGAGGGTCTTTCTGTGTAACCCTGGAACTCTCAGAGATTCACTTCCCCCTTCCTTGTTACCCCCCCCCCCCCAGTGCTGGAATTACATGCCATCACCTCACAGCTTGTTTTCTGTTTTTATGGGAGGTGCTTAATCACCCTGTGGCTTATCACAGTAAGGGCTTCTTTGCACCATTTTTTTTCGTGTGGGTGTGGGCTTAGGAAGGAGTCCCAGAATTGTTTCCAGTGCCCTCTTCTGCTTCTTCTTCTGGTGGTACTTTTTCAGACAGAGGACTGTTAACATCTTCACATCTTAATCTGGTGGGTCACTCTTCATGGAGATGCCAACTGGAGGGTTCAGTTGCCACCATTAGACCAGCCTAACTTTTTATTTATATTTGAAACAAGCTTGTTTTACATATCAATCCCAGTTCCCACACCCTCCCATGCTCCCATTTTCCCCACCAATACCTGTTCTATAACCTTTCTGCTCCCCTGGGAGGGTGAGGCCTTCCACGGGGAGTCTTCAAAGTCTGTCATATCATTTGGAGCAGGGCCTAGGCTCTCTCCTTTGTGTCTAAGCTGAGGGAGTATGAATAATAGGGATAAATACTGATCCACTACCAGAGGCCCCATGGACTACCCAGACCTCCTAACTAACACCCACATTCAGGGAGTCTGGGTCAGTCTTTTGCTGGTTTCCCAGCTATCAGACTGGAGTCCATGAGCTCCCCCTTGTTCAGGTCAGCTGGAGGTTTCTCCAGCCTGGTCTTGACCCCTTTGCTCATCACTCCTCCCTATCTGCAACTGGATTCCAGGAGTTCGGCTCAGTGTTAGCTGTGGGTGTATGCTTCTGTTTCCATCAGCTACTGGATAAAGGCTCTAGAATGACATATAAGATAGTCATCAATCTCATTATCAGGGAAGGGCATTTAAGGTAGTTGGGGTCATCCTTGTAGATCTCTGGACATTTCCCTAGTGCTAGATTTCTCTTAAAACCTACAATGGCTGCATCTATTATGGTATTTCTTTTCTTGCTCTCCTCTATTCTTTCCCTGACTCAATCTGCCTGCTCTGTCATGCCCATCTCTCCCCTTCTCTTCACCCCAAGTCCCTCCCTCCTCCCCCATGCTCCCAATTTGCTTAGGAGATCTTGCCTCTTTCCCCTTCTCCAGGGGGCCTTTAGATGAACCTCTCTATGCCTTTTCTCAGCTATCCTATAGCAGCCATCGATTGATTTTGAAGTTATTTATGCCACTGGTATTTTCTTTCATCTCTAAGTGTGTGCATGTGTGTGGTTTCCCCTTTCTCTCCATGAGAAACATGCCCTGGGCATGTAAGTTCTCTATAGAATCATTTGCCCCGATCAGTGGGGCCTAGTTATTTGTGAGTCGAGGTGGGCTAGAACCTGAAAATAATGGGAGAGAAAGAAGGAACCAGGCAATCTTTGTCAAGGTCTCACTTTATTAGGCACAAAGAGGGGTTTTTAAAGCAAAGCGGGGAGGAAATGGGGAGGGGTAGCTGTGCTGATTCTGGGGCTCTGGTAATGTCCCAGGCCATAAATGTCTGCTTATTTCAGTTCCCGGTGTCTGGTTCATCTCAGTTCCTGGGATGAGTGGAACAGACTCTTGTTTAGCAGTTTTCTGTTTTATCAAGATAAGGCTCAATTAGAGTTTTAAGGTGTAAGTAATTCTGCAAGAGGATGTGACTCAAGGCCGGCTCCCAACAATCATTGTATATTTGCTAACTGAATGCAGATAAGGTTGCAAAACTGCTGGGTGCCTGGTAGAGGGCAAGGTAGCTGTGAGAAAGCTGGTACAATGCTTTACTACCAGCGCTGAGTAGTAGAGGCAGACATATCTCAGTGATTTTGAGGCCTGATTATTAATGTGTGTAATGGTGATGCCACCAAAAATTTACCTGTCGGCAAGGAGGCAAGGAGGGCGGTATGATGACGATGACGCACAAGAGCACCCAAACACGACTGCTCTGTGCAAAAGAGTAGGTTTAAATGGAACTCAGGGCTCCCGGCTTGTATGGCAAGAACCTCTTCGGTGAACTCGCTGCCAGACCGTGTCTTTTTGTCCTTGAATTATATGAGATTTTTCTCAAGACCAGGGATAGGATTCGGTCCGGGGAGAAAGGCAGGACCACTGCGTTATCCTGAATACTGTTTTGGCAGCGCCTCGGATTTTGCCGCATTCACTGCAGTATTAGTAGCGTAACCTGTTGTGGAATGCAGTTTACCAGAGGCTTACGCATGAGAGGCCAGAAGTGACCGTGGGAATTGTCCAGTACGACACTGTGCCACCGTATCAGCTGCGCACCACATCTGGTGTGTGCGCAGTCAGCAGCGCTGCTCAGCTGGTCTCACAGTCTGTCTCTGCAGACACCAGATAGGAGCAGCTCTCCTGGACTTGGTCTCCTGCCTGCCTCAGTTGTCGAGGAACAGCTGGACTTTAGTGACTGCAGAGACTTAGATTTGGAAGAAATCAAGAGACTTGCGGACGGGTCCCTGAACACCTGCAGAACTGCTCAGGCGGCCGACTCCCCTTTGGGAGGGTGTTGCTGGTCATTAAGAGTGCGGCAACAGTAGGGAGGCTCTGCTATTGGGTTGTACCGAGGGTACAAGCCGAAAGCCCTTCCTTCCCCAGTTCCACGGGCCGGGGTCTGTGCTCGTTGTGAAGGGTACAAGATGCGCAAGATGCAGTGTGCATGCGCAATGGGCATGACTGGCGAAGGTTTCACAGCAGAGCCATTCTCGGCAATCGCGAGGTGTGGTGCAGAGGATGCCACGCTCCCATTGGCCAATCCCTCCTCTTCCCCCTCCCCAGCGGCTCGCCAACCACCTGCCAACGCTGCGGAGCCCAAGTCAATGGTGTTCTCGCCATGACTTTCAAGATTTTCCTCCTCTTTGCAGGACTTATGGTTAAAGTATGTGTCGGGCTGTACTTTTCTTGTAAATTACTTCTTTTCCAAAGCCTGATGTTAATGTCCCTGGAAGACAGCGCCTTTTATGCGACCATCGTCTCCGTGGTCGGGCAGCATATGGTTTTGGCAATTTTTGTTTTTATAGTGTGGAAGAAGGGTTTGCCACAGTGGCGGGAAAACAAAAATGGTGGGTTTTTCTTTTTCTTTCTTGTTCATATCAAATGTGCTTTTTCTTTTCCTTAAGGGTAGGAGGTGAGATTATATTACTGCACCTAAGACTGCAGTAAAAATGGGGTGGGAGGGTAAAAAAGGCCGACAACATTCTACCGATTGTTTCATGCCAAATGCTTTTAGATAAGGACGTAACGTTTTTGATTGATGTAAATACTAACTCTAGAATAGGCAGCCAGGATGGAAGTAACAATATAATTAGATTTTTTTTCGTATAAAAATTGTGTTGTAATGTAATTTGTGGCATGGTGTGGCTCAGCTCAAGCATTAGTTTTCACAATGCAGTAAGTATCCATGCGAAAGCTTCATTCCTTTTACTGTATCTGCGTCATTTTCTGCAGCCGCCAGGATCGCTTAATTTAATGTTCTTTTACTCAGATATTGGCTGCCAGAATCAGTCCAAGTTTTATTAGGTGCTTCCATGCTAGCTCATTCATGGAGGTCTTAAGCGTAGGCGAGAATTGAGGAATTCATTTAAAATTAAAACTGTTGGATTTAGACTGCAACAAGGTGGTACTGACGCAGAAAGCCTACGACAAGCTTTAAGACATCCATGCAGTACCTCTAACAATGACTTCATCCTTGGGCAAATTAACTAGTGGCTCAAGTTCCATCTACAATAGACATTTCCGATTTTGGTTTCTTTGTCTGTTTTGTTTTTTGCTACTTCTTTGATAATCCTAAAGCAAGATACTGTGGCGGAATCTAAAAATTGGCAATCAGAATTTGGCTGGAAATTTGGCTGGAAAGACCTCATGCCATATTAGATATGGCTTAAAATTTTCATTTGAATTTAGATTATACCTGCTTGTTGACTATTTGTGTATTTTAATCCTTGGCTGTTTCCTTACTAGAACATTTTTAAGATGTGCATCTTACTGATGTCTTTAATGGTTTAATAGTGGTTTAATAATGGTTCAGCGCTCACCTGAATTATATTCTAATCTGTTTGGGTATGTGGAGTGGGGGAAATGTGACAAAATGGCCTTGGGCAGTGTTTATGATTCCTTGAAAGCCAAGTGAAATCTATATTGAGAAAAAGGAGTGTGGTTTGCCTTACTCCATGTTCACAACTGTTTCATTTATCTAAGACTCTTTCAAAATAGCTGCTTTCTAGTAGTGCAAAAATACCCTTGCTGTCTAGTATGCTATTTTGAATACTGGCGAATGTGAATTAACATGATTTCTCCTTCTGGGTGTCACGTTTTCTTTTCTTCTTCCCAGTAACCACCTCTCCATCACTGTCCAATTCCTGCTCTTACATTGTCCCTTTTCTTTGGAGACTGCGCCCCCTTCTGGCCATGTCTAGGAACAGACCTCCCTTCAGTTCAGGTCTTCTTCCTTACCCAAATCTACCCCCATGTAAACCTAAAAGGTGGGGGTGGGGAGAGATTTGTTTTAAGATTCCTTTTCCCCAAATGCATAGCTGTTTTAGTATTAAAATTTACTTTAAAAGTAGAACTGTTTCATTTGTTCCCCTGAGCAATCTTTTATTCGTAAGTAGGAATAAGCTTGCAAAAAAAAAAAAAAAAAAAAAAAAAAAGACAATAATTTGGGTATCATGTCTGTTCAGCCTCACTGACGCTGCTCACAGAGATGTGGACGTGCTCCTGCTGCTTTCTAACTCTGCCTACTACGTGGCCTAGTAAGTTGTCACTAAGTTAAAGCTTTTAGCTTTGTTTTTTGGCAAATAATTAGCTTTGAGAATTCTTAATGTTTGTTGTTTTCATGTCTATATGAAATTTCATTGAGCCCTTTCAATCATCATGTTTGAAAATTGAGTTACTTGTCACTGTTTTAGCTTATGGCGTTCATCAAAACCTGGACACTGCGCACATTTTTTAATCATGGATGGCCATGCATCATGGCTGGTCTTACTGTATTTTTCCCCATTGTTAGACACTGAATTCCTTGCAGCTTTTTGCCATTGAATGATGCAGCTCTGCAGAGGCACGGCTTGTGTGTGCGCATGCGCATGTCAGTATCTCCATGGTTACAAGCATATGATTATGCGACTTCCAGTGTCTCCTTGGTTACAAGCATATGATCAATTATGTGACTTTGGTGGTCTGTTAGCGCCATCTCCAAAAAGAGAGTTAACCGTGTCACTACCAAAGCTTAAGTGCCTGTTTCTGGAGCTACCCAGGATACAGGTTTAACATGTATTTCATAATTAAATGTTCGCTTTCCTTTTGGCGTGGTTTGAGCTGCCATTTCCCCGTCATTCCACAAGCCTTTTAGAACAGGTCAATACCATTTTCTTCCTTAATTCAAATATCAGACCTTATTATTATTATTCCTTAACTAGGGTGTTCTAAACCAATTTTAACTGTTTGTTTTCATTTTGTTTATAAACTGAAATTATTTTTGCCTTGTAATTGATTTCCTTTGTGTATGTAAAACTCTCCATTAGTTGTTAAACTGCATGTTACCTTTAAAAATGAGAGATAGAGAGAGAGTGAGTGTCTTCTATTATGTGGCCTTGGCTGTCCTGGAACTCTCTCTGTAGACCAGGCTAGTCTGGAACTCACAGATCCACCTGCTTCTGCCTCCTGAATGGCTCTTGTATGTATATATATCCCCACTTCATTCTAGAATGTATGCAAGAATATTTTATTTTAATTATATGTAGCTTATTATATTGCACCTCAGCTTTGGAGTCAAAGCCAAATAGACATTTGCTTTTAACCCTCTTTTTACTCCCTTTCCCTAGTTATGATGATGAAGTTGATAAAGTAAACCAGTATCAACGGCTAAGCCTAGAAGACCTGGAAAAAATAGAAATAGGTAAATGCAATCATATTAATTAACTCACACAAGAGAATACTCCAAGACACCTGTGGTGATGGACTTCCATTTTCTTCTTTAGAGATTAGTGATGATGTTTGCTTTCACCTTGTGCCTTGTGAAGTTTAACTTCAGTGACCAAAAGCCTGAGCAGTTACTACTGAAGAAGTGTTCTTATGGCCTCATTAAATCATGTTAGTGACAGCACAGAGGGCAGAACAGGGGTGCCTTGTTAGGGCTGGAAGATATGTACATGCATGAAGTGCATGATACTATAAAAGCATTTTTAATGGGGGCTGGAGAGATGGCTCAGAGAGGTTAAGAGCACTGGCTGCTCTTCCAGAGGACCTGAGTTCAATTCTCAGAAATCACATGGTGACTCACACCCATCTATAATGAAATCTGCTGCCCTCTTCTGGTATGCAGGCATACATGCAGGCAGAACACTATACATAATAATTAAAACAAACCATTTTTATAATGGAGGTTAGTAGCACACACCTTTAATCCCAGCACTCAGGAGACAGAGGCAGGAGGAGCTCTATGAGTTCGAGGCCAACCTGATCTACAAGGCGAACTCCAGGACAGCCAGGGTTATTAACACAGAAAAACCCTGTCTTAAAAGACTAGGAACCCCCCCCCCCCGAAAAAACAATCCATTTTTACAAATCGCCATAAGTTTATAACTTATTTTCATTTATATTCTGAAAAGAGATATGCTTACAGTTAACTGTGTGTTTGAAGTAAAGGAAGAAAATGTTATGTGGAAAAACAAAATTTTAAACATGTTCATTTGTGTTAGGTCCTGAACCTACTCTTTTTGGGAAGCCGAAGTTCTCCTGCATGCGACTGCACTACAGATGTAAAGAAGCGAGTGGTTACTTCCACACACTGAGAGCTGTGATACGCAGTCCAGAAGAAGATGGGAAAGGTAAAAGAGGAAAACTGCTACACTTAGTAATGGCTTTGTGTCTATTACAAATCTATTACAAGGGTGGAGGATAGTGAACACGCAATAGTTCTGTGATAGGCAATGAGCTAGTATTTCAATCTGTGGCCACAAGTTAAATTGAAGCTGAGACTATTATATTCTAGTGTTTGGGGAATTACTAAGGGCTGTGTTTGGATTTCAGATACTCTTCAGTGCATTGCAGAGATGCTACAAATCACCAAGCAAGCCATGGGGCTGGATGTTCCTATAGTTGAGAAGAAGCTTGAGAGGTCAGTATCAAGAGAAGATATCATTTAGAGCCAGATTCAGCAGTGCAACCTGAAATCCCAGCATCTGTGATGTGGAAGAGTTCAAGGCCAGGCCAGACTGGGTATAGAGAGCCTTTCTTAAAATAGGAACAAAGCCCCAAAGTAGCAAACAGCCAGCCAAACAACAGCACCAATATATCACTGCTCCTAAGAAATACAATTTAAAACACCAAGTGTTGGCATCACAGACCTGTGCCACCAGAACCATTTTATATTGTGCTGGAGACTGAACACATGGTTTCATGCATGCTAGGAAAATCATCTACCAACTGAGCTAAAGGCCCTTTGCTTTTGATGAGACAGGATCCAGCTTCAATTCTTGATCTTGCCTCAGCCCTAGATTACAGGGATTGGAGTGCATACCAACCCAGCTGTGATAATAAGGTTAACCCTCTCCTCTGTTGATTGTAGATTCTGTTATTCACCCTGGAACCTTGAGGAAGATACTTAATAGTCATAGTTCTTCTGTTTTGTTACTTGTTACGATAATGAAATGTCAGAAGGGTTGCAGATTGAATGGTGATGTTCTTAGAGAAACACGTAGCAGTTTTAAAACCCAACTGGTAACAAGTCTGGTTGTTGCCTTTTCTTTTCATGCGTAGTTGATTTCTTTAGAAGGGGGTCTATGATGTACTCTGAGGGAGACCCTTTTGTTTTCCACTCCCTTAATCCTACAGCACTTTATGAGACCTTATCCTCAGTTTAAGGGATTCTTAACTGACTCAGATTTTTACTTTCTCAAGTGACATGGTATTTATATCCTATCTCAATATTCAGATGTGTTTAATGCAAATGTTAGCCTGAGTACCTAGTTAAGTAGTACATATAAAAAACCGTGATGAAACATGGCTCACAGGACTTAAGAGAAATTCCTGTCTGCTCTGATGGCATCTGATGCTCTTTGTGCTCTCACGGTGACCAGGGGGCACATCCCAATGTCACTAGTCTACTGAGGAGGCATAGTATATTTTAGACATTAATTCCACCCTACAGGTAATTTCATATTTACAGTGTATCCCTCCTCCTGAGCACTGGTCAGGCTCCATGGTCCTGCTCTACTAGGGTAGGAGAGCTGTCCTGTCCACTCTTAATTGTGACAGCTCTTCTAGCACCCACTCTTCTGCAGAGCTCCTATGGTAGGTGATCTTGCATGGTGACTTGAGGACAGATGGGCAGAGACATTTGATAACAGGGGAAAACATGTATTAAGTAATTATATATCCCAGATCTTTTAAAAAAAAAACTGTGTTGACTGACTGAGAGCCATGTAGACTGCTTGGAATTCTGGTAGTAGGTCTGCCCCTATGGTCAGCAAGTGTTGTCCTGGAGCCTTAGACCTGTATCTGTGGTGACAGCCACTGCATTAGACCTGCACTTCTCAGACAGCCTCACTCCATATGAGGCCCTGGCCTTTGAAATGTGACTGGTCCCAGTTCAGTTGTGCTGTAATCACACTACTGTACCTTGACCATTTTAAAGACCTGGTGCAAAAAGGAACAAGATACGAGTCTTTATACATCTATGTTGAGGCGTAGTATTTATTGTGTAAGTAAATAATTACTGTTTTTAATTATATTCTTTTTATTAGATGGTGGTGTCTTAGTGTCATCTCCAGTTATTTGGATTCATCAGTAGTGTCCTGCTTCCAAGAAACGTGGACAAAGCATTTCCATTGATATTAGTTGGTATGAGTATGTTAGATTCCATGAGGAATTAACTTGTTTTCTCTTCTAACTTATAGGAAAAGCAGTAAGCCTCATGAAGACATCATTGGTATCAGGTCTCAAAACCAAGGCTCTCTGGCCCAGGGGAAAAGTTTTCTAATGAGCAAATTTTCATCTCTAAATCAAAAAGTAAAGCAAACCAAATCCAATGTGAACATTGGCAGCCTACGAAAATTAGGAAACTTTACAAAGCCTGAAATGAAAGTTAACTTTCTAAAACCAAACTTAAAAGTCAATCTTTGGAAGTCAGACAGTAGTCTTGAGACCATGGAAAACTCGGGAGTGATGGATAATCAGGTCCAAGGGGAGTCTGACGGGGACATGTCTTCAGATAATGATTCGTACCACTCTGATGAATTCCTTACAGATTCCAAGTCCCAGGAAGACAGGCAGCTAGCTAATTCTTTAGAGAGTGTGGGGCCAACAGATTACATTCTCCCAAGCTGTGGTATTATTGCTTCTGCACCTCGATTAGGCAGCCGGTCACAGTCTGCCAGCAGCACGGATATCAGCGTTCATGCTCCTGCCGAGGCTACTGTTGGTCATGGAGGTGGGCTTGCAAAAGGCCACGAGTCTCCCTTGAAGAAAAGTCCTTCAGCTGACAACATACGGGTTTTGACAGGCTTTGCCAAGCCTGTGGATGTTTACTGCCATAGATTTGTACAGGATGCACAGAACAAAATGACTGAGCTGTTGGAGACCAGGTCTGTGTCTCAGAATAATGAGGAAGGAAATGAAAAGACTAACAATGTTTCCAGTGAAGAAAACCAGTCAGAATCACTGGGACAGATGCCTTCTCGACCGTCCCAGTTAAATGTCTCTTGTTCTTTGACAGGCCCACAGTTTTTATCAGTTGAACCAGTACATTCTGTGGTCTCTCAGAAGAGCCCCAGCTCTGGGTCCAGCCTGCTGGAACTGGAGGCAGGGCTCTGTGTGACTCCTTCTTCAGAGAGCAGCAGCAGAGCAGTCTCTCCCTTTGCAAAGATCCGAAGCTCCATGGTCCAAGTTGCTAGTATTACCCAAGCTGGGCTAACTCACGGGATAAACTTGGCAGTGGCCAAAGTTCAGAAAAGTCCAGCAGAACCTGAAGTAGTTAATGAAATTCAGCAAAATGAACTTAAAAATATGTTTACACAATGCCAGACACGAATAATTCAGATTTAGATTTTAGTCACAATCCCATGGTTTTTATTTAAAAAATCAAAATGAAGTTTTCACCCATCAGGTTTTTTTTTTGAACAGATTTTGTCCCAAGTGCTGGGATTAAAGATGTGCCCCACCACAGACCAGCCCTCTGAGGCTATTTTAACCCGTACTGAGTTTAGGAATTGCAAATTCTAATTATGTTTACTGACGATTGTTTCAGTTTGAACCTGAGGAAATTTTCAGATAGACTATAAGTGATCATCCTAGACTGTAGGCCAGAGTAGCTAAAATACATGCCAAGAATGATCTTACTGGGGAAGGTTCCGGAAAGAACCAAGCTGGTGTTTGGAGGGAGAAAGGGAGATATAGTCTGTGAAGCAGATGCAGTGTGAATACACCCGTTTAAAGAATTGGCATCTTCCTGCTCTATCAGGTTCATTCCTATACACTGCCTCTATAAGGAAAATTATACATTTAGATTTTAGTAACTTTTACTAGTGTGCAGAAGTACTAAATTAAAAAAAAAAAAAACAGTAGTCTTAACAGCTTATTTGTCAATGAGGTTGAGAATCAACAGTAGTGAAATAATATATTTTCATCTGATTGATCCCAGTTTCTCCCATATTCTTTCTTCTCTTCCAAACTCCTAAACACACACCTGCTCCAAGAACATAAGATCATGTACACTGACTGACTCTAGGACTCTTTAGAAATGTCAGGTTTTAACTCTTTCAAGGGAGACATCTAGCATCTCTTGTAGGTTCCAGAACCATGGAAAACCTACTTAAAGTGTAGGTTAATACTGGTTTTATACAGTAATTGACCAGCAAGGACACTGGCCTCTTGTGTATCCCAGAGTAAGAAAGCAGTGTGGCACATTCCAGCAGGTATCAATGTCTCTGGCATCCGCAGAGCCTTACTCTGGTGAAGTGACTCATAGTTGAACATGATGTCCGTTGTCACTGTTGTAACTCTGGTAACAAGCATTCCGCTTTTGTTATTTATTAGAAGTGTCAAGTCTTGTGACTATTAAAGTACCACTTTAAGTCAAAGCATCACTGTGTGTGAGAGTTTCTTGTATAGCATTTAATAGTTTGGCTTTCAAAGAATTCATACATGGCAAGTTTGCCGTAACCAAACACTTGTTTTGAACTTTTTCAATTAAAGTGTTCTTATTTTAAAAAATGAGAACTTTATTTTCAACTGAAACATTAAAAACTGGATGCCACAGTCTGTTCCTTCCCATCTTTGTCTTCAGGCTCTTCTGAGCAGGTGAGTGCTTTAGAGCTGAGTCAGGTGGGAAGCCACTGCGTGTGGGGGTTTCCACAGAGGTGACACACTGGGAAATCTGACAACAGAAGTGAAGACAATGGCATTTCCAAAGAGGCATCTATGCCTGCTCAGGGTTACGGCTTGCTTTCACGAAGAGATACATGCACGGCCATCCACTGTGTAGGCATGGGAGAGACTATGCCTCAAAAGGCTGAAAGTTCTAGTCCCTTCTAGTTTGGCTTGGGTAGACGACATCCTGTGCATTCATGAAAAATGTTCACAGTACTGTTTTATTTGCTGGACAAGATTACTCAAGGGTACTTTTCTGTAAGATCAAGCAAAGTTATGACTTCTCTTTGATAAACTAAAAACTTTGTTCTAGGACAAAGAAAATGCATTTTCAAAAATCTATGTGAACATTTTATTTTTAAAGGTTTTAAGGAAGATCTTATCTACCAGTTATAAAAATGAAAACCAGTTAGAATTCTAATATGAACATTATTTGTATTGACTTATAAAAATAGATTTGAGGTTAGGAAAAATGCTGAACAACTAGTAGTTTGTAGTTCCTTTCATTAGACTAATTCCTTGATTTATCAAGGCTGACCCTGTTTCCTTGGTTAACAATGTCAATGTAAGTCTCTTCAGTGGGAAAAAATTAAGGGGTCACTCAACTCATCTGTTTCCAAATTAATTCATCTTCATGTACATCACAGATAGCTTAAAAGCAATGTTCTAACCTTTCTGAAGGTTATGCTATGTTAATTTATAAATGACAAGTAATAACTTTTGTTTATTTGAAAATATGCATATCAAAATGAATAGGTCTGAGGAAAACCTACCTGTAACTGTACTAGCAAATGATGTTACCATCTAACAAACTTGGAAACTATCTGATAAACTTATGTTAAGAGTCCCCACCCCCTAGGGATGTAGCTTAGTGGTAGAGCACTTCTCCAGCATGTGTGAGAGGCCAGGGTTCAATACAAAGCACCATAAAAAAGCAATTCTAACCACCACCCCTCTCAAAGTTTACAATTTAAACAGTCTCCCCACCCCCCAATGTTTGGGTAAGGTTCCATGGGGTAGCATTCCTTTCAGAGTCCCTTAAAATGACAGTTTCAAATGCAGGGTGTGAGAAAAGCTAAGGACAATGTCATAACCTTCACAAAGCTGCATTTATTCCAAGGAAAGACTCTCTTATCTGAGTGTCCTTTTATGAAAACAAAACAGTGATCACAGTGATTGATTTTTTTTTTTTTTTTTCCTACAAGTGACTTGACAAATTAACTGGCAACTCTACCCCAGAGATCTCTAGTCCATGAAATTAAAAGTTGGCAACTCCTGCCATGGGAAAGCCTAGTTCTGCAGGCTATTAACAGCTGGTAAGTGGAAAAAAGTTTCTATGTCCAGATATATAGAAAATGACACTAGAGAGTTCACAGGAATCAATGGCAAGTACATCCCGACTAGAAACACACACAGACCAGAACCATTCCGCATTAACACAGAAGTGCGAGGGCACAACTCTTCCAGTAATTACTTCAGGTGAAGCTGGTACTTTAAGAGTCTGGCCTAAAATGTAGCTATGGCTAAGGAAATGGTATGATCAGCAACATTATCATTATTAAACTTTTTAATATCAAATACATTTTTATACATCATAACTAATTATAAAACAAACTCCGAAACTCCATAAAACCAGTAAGGTAAAAGCCCTTACAGAGAATCATATAAACTTTAGGTGTCACCAGGCTTGATTTCAGGAAAAGTCATTGTTTTTGGATACAAATTATCTATAAAACAATATGGTATAAACGAATCTGAATTGTACAGCATGGAGGCTATAGCTTGCCCATTCTCTTCTTAAGTTCAGAGCTCTAAAGTTCATTCCCATTCACACACTTGTGCTGCTGAAGCCTGTTTTTTCTGGAAGACTCCAGTTGCTTTGCTCTTAGCCATCGTTCTCTTGATAGTGTTGTCTGACCAGCACTCAGGGACAGAAACCTGTTTTGAAATTTAAAAATTACCTAGAGTTAGGAAGACTAAAGTCTTAACAACTAGGAAATCTTTGAAAGCCCACCAGGAAGCAAGAACATATGGTTGCTACACATGAGCAAGGGTCAAGTATGACCTTGAAAAGGAATCCCTGCAGAGCCAGAATTAGAGGGCGGCTCAACTCTTAAAAGCTTAGAGAACAAGCCTGTTCTGCTAGAAATAGAAACCTTCATCAGGTAGGTATTCTTTTTTTAAATGATTTTTTTATTATTATCATTTTTTAACATCCTGACTGCAATTTTCTCTCCTTCCTCTCCACCCCCACCACACCCATCCACTCCTCAGTTTCTATTCAGAAAAGGGTAGGCCTCCCATGGGTATCAACCAAACATGACATCAAGTTGCAGTAAGACTAAGCATCTCCTCCCTTCGTTTGCTGGGCAAGGCAACACTGTATGAGGAAAAGAGTCCCAGAAGCTGGCAAAATAATCAGATAGCCCCTGCTCCCACAAGAAGACCAAGCTACACAACTGTAACATACATGCAGAAGGCCTACGTCATTCCCATACAGGACCCTGGGTTGTCAGTTCAGTCTCTGTGAACTTCTATGAACCCAGGCTAGTTGTTTCTGTGGGTTTTCTTGTGGTGTCCTTGATCCAGCCCTCTGGCTCCTATAATCCTTCCCCTTCTCCCACAGGATTCTGTGTTTGTAGGAGGGCTCAGGGCTCAGAATCTTCCTCAATCACTCCCTGCCTTCCTTAGTTGATGAGGCAGGGTCTTTCAATTGAACTCAAGGCTGGTTGGTGTAACTAGGCTAGTCAATTTGCTCTGGGATTCCTCCTGGCCATGCACACCCAGATTTTAGGTGGATCTAAACTTTAGTCCTCAGGCAAAAGCTTTACCCATCTGCTCAACTCTAGAAGTGTCTTTGAAGGAAAAATTCCTCTGTTTATAGAAGTCTGCCTTAGCTGGTGGTGGTGCAATGCCTTTAATCCCTGCACTCGGGAGGCAGAGGCAGGGTTTGAATTTGAAGTCAGCCTGGTCTACGGAGTTTCAGGACAGGCTCCAAAGCTACAGAGAAACTCTGTCTCGAAAAACAAAACAAACCAAACAAAAGTCCGCTTCAGATACTGTTGAATAAATCAGAATTGTACAGGGCCAACAGAAAAGGGGACTATGGGTGAGCACACTTACCGAGCCACCACAAGCAATTGGTGGAGGTCATCAGCTGTGATACTCTGAGGATCGTTTTTACGCATTTCCACAAAATCGTCTTCAACCGCCTTTATCAAAAGGGTAATATATTTGTAAAAATATTCCTTCAAACCTCTTTAAGTGCATTTCAAACTATTTCCTTATTTTTGTAAAGAAAAAGCAACATGGTCCTTGACTATAATAAAAGTAGATGGACAAATGAGGGTAAAGAGAGAAAGAACCAAAAATTTAACCTCCATTACAAAATTCTACATTCTACATTCAGCTCAGTCCCGATTGAGAGTGTCAAGCAAGCACTGAAGCCAGCATCTTCCACCGTGTGATGTCGTGCTACAGTGCATGCCTGAAAGCCAAGGGAGAAGGACCACAACTACAGGCCTGCCTGGGCCCAATACAGTGGAAACAATGGTTGGAGTCAGCCTGGTCAAAACCCTGGGAACTCCCAGTAACCTGGGGATCATTTACACAACAAAACAAGTGGCTCTTGTAAGAATGTTGAGTTCTGTGACATTTCAACTCTACACCGCCACCTCAGGTGATGTCTTGGAAAACCCACAGTCTGGCAGCCACTGGGCTAGCAGAATAGGCAGGGCCTTCAGTACCAATAGCAGAGAACTGCTACCCTCATCTGCAAGGCTGTCTTCACTGGAAGCCTGTTATAATGTTCTACTATTGCTACCATTAATATGTTGGTATGCTTGCTATATAAATTAAGCTCTAGAAAGTGTTATATCTCAGCACTTAGGAGGCAGAGACAGGCAGATCTCTCTTTAAAAAAATATAAAAGAGCTCATGGGGTGCTTACCCCCATGAGGGCCCTGGGTTTGAAGCTCGGCATCATAAAACAACAAATGATTGAAGGGGGGGGGGGGAGGCAGTCCCAGATAAAAGCTTAAAGAAGCTGCCATAGAAGACACCCTCAAATGAAACAGAAAGCCTTGGTAAAGGCAAACACACAGGGAAATGTTAACCAGTGTAAAGCTAGGCTTGGTGGTGTCTGCCTATAACCCCACATTCCCTCCAAGTCTAAGACCAGCATGGGCTACATAGTAAAGCCACAAATGACTAGAAAAGCAACAAAAATTGTATTTTCTTGTTTAACCTTTCCCCCCTCTGGCTTGAAAGACAATTGCACAAAGTGATAATTATGTGTTACAAGGATATAATCTGTGAAATAACAACATGAACGAGGGAATGAAGAACAGAATGGAAAGGAGCAAAATTTTCACAGACCAAGGCAAATGCTCATCCCAAGTCTCAAAAACTAACCTGATAAGGTAGGAGCTGAAGATATGAGATAGAGTGCTTGCTGCACTGTTATACAAAGGAATTGGTTTCGATCCGGGTGCTGAAAATAATTAAACCAACCAAACAAAAACAAAAGCAATTCAACTGCAGAAAGGAAGGAGGCAGCTGAGTAAAAGGACAGAGAATGAATCCCCTCTTAAACAGAAGGTGACCATAATAAAGACTAGAGATGGTAAACACAAACTTTGCCTTACAGTAACTGCAGTAAAATCACACCGAGTGAACCCCAAAACCCAACACAGGATTTCTTGTTACAATGAAAGCATACCTTGGTTATGTCATCTGATATGTTGTAGTCCAGAAATCTCAAGAGGGTCAGGTAGATGCGGAACTTGTTGAGCACAGATGGCAGCACAGCTGAGAGAAGGCTATTCATGTACTCCTCCATGTTGGGTGGCATCAGCTGGGGCTGCAAGTGAATCTGGCAGTCTGCCTGGAGAGAGAAAGATGAACTCATTTACAAGACCCTATAATTTAGAGGATGAGGCTCTCAACTTGTAAGGGAATTAAAAATACCATGTATTTGAGGAGAGGGATTTTTTAAAATCTTAGTCTAACTGGACTGCAAACCACTGCAATGTGATTTTCTGTTTGGCTCAAGACATGACTGTTTTCTGTAAAGCAGGCTAGCCTTAAACTCAGTATAGGAACATTTGAGATGGATATGGCTTAGCTGGTAAAAGATACTTGCTGCCAAGACCCACATGGTGGATGGAAAGAAAACCAATTCCTTCAAGTCGTTCTCCAACCTCTTACACACCAGCCATAGCATACGCAGGTATGAGCACACACACATATCATGTGATTGGGGGGGGGGGAGGCAAAGAAAATAACAGTAGTCTGGATTATTAAGGGGAATTAGCTTCTCCTCTTTATTTCTGGACATGAGAGGCTCTTCTACCAGTAGCTTTGGTTATCTTGTGATTTTCTGGTTCTTGGTTGTAAAATGAAACAACAGGTTCCCTTGTTAATAACTAGCAGCTACAATCTCCTTTTTTGAAATCTATGGCTGGAATTCAGAGCCCTAAACAAGACAGGCAAGTGCTTTACCACCGGGCTGTACTCAGCCTTTTGAGGTGGAGTCTTACAGTGCTGCCCAGGAAAGGTGTGACTTCACCACCTTCCCACCTCAGATTCCCTCAGTATATAGAACCACAGGCATGGACTAACACTACAAGGTAACCCCCAATTCATACACAAATGAAACTTATTAAAATAATAAGCAGCGCTGGGCTGAGGAAATGGTTCAGTCTGTAAAGTACATACTTCTGTGGGGCTGAGAGGATGGTGCAGCAATTAAGAGCACTTACTACTCTATAGGAAACAGACTTTGAATCCCAGGACACACTTACAAACACATTTAATGTCTCCAAGCCTCCACCTCCCCATGCCCCAGTTCTGGGTTCTCTGGGTATGAATGAGCACAGGCACACACCCACATCAATAAAATAGTAACACTTAGAGCTGAGGAGCTGGCTCAGCAGTTAAGAGCATTTGTAGTGTTCTTGCAAAAGGCCTAGGTCTGGTTTCTAGCACCTATATACATATAGTGATTCACAGCCAACCCTAATTCCAGTTCCAGGAGATCAAATGTCTTCTTCTGTCCTTCACGGACACCAGGGCATGTAAATGGCAAACATGCATAAATGTATACCAACACTCATATACATAAAATAAAATATTAAAAAATAAAATGCACAACACAGAATTGAAATGTGTGTTTTAGCTTCTTGTTTGTTTTTAAAAGAGTCTCTCTATGGAGTCCTGGCTGCCCTAGAGCTCACTATGTAGAAGAGCTGGACTCCAATTCACAGAGATCTATCTGCCTGCATCTGCCTCCTGAGTGCTGAAAGAAGTATGCCACTACACCTGCCCCACTCCACCCCCCAAAAATCTTTTTCTTTTGGAGGGAGGGATTTGAGATGGTTTCTCTATGTAGCTTTGGAGCCTGTCCTGGAGCTCACTTGGTAGACCAGGCTGGCCTCGAACTCACAGAGATCCACCTGCCTCTGCCTCCTGAATGCTGGGATTAAAGGGGTGCACTATCACTGTCTGGCTTTAAAAAAAAAAATCTTAGAAAAAAAAAACTAGCTTGAAGACTAGCGTTAAATTCCTAGAAACTACACAAAAATGGTGGGTGTAGTAGTATACCCTTATAATCCCAGTGACTAGAAGTGAGGCAGGTGAATCTGGAGCTTCTGAAAACTCAAAACTCAAGGTATATGGTTGCTGAGAAACAACACCTGAAGCTGACTCCTGGCCTTGACATACATGTGCACAAGTGCATGTATCTGCACACACAGGCAATGTAAGTAATAGAAATGGACAAAGTGATAACAATAATCTTTGCACTGTAACCTCCCTATATTAAGCATGAGCCATCATACCGGGAGTAGCGACCTCCCCTCAGATGTGATGAGAACGTTGATATTGCACGGGAACTCCATCTGGTGGTAACTGAAGTCATAATCCACCTTCTGCCATGTTATCAGGTTGCTCAGTGCAGTCACATTATGAACACCTGGAAGAGGAAGATTGTTATTCGCAGTGTTGTGATTTTAATCACCTATGCAAATGATCTTAAGACATGTGGTTTTCTGCCGATTAAATAAAGGTAACAGTAGCCAACAATTAAACAAGCGGAATGTCAGCAAGCCAAATGTCAACTAGATAATAAGCTCCACAGACAGTATTAGGTCAACTTGAACTTTCTGGGGGCCAAAACTCACACAAATCTAATACCCAACACAAAGTGGAACTCTGGTAAGTTCATTACTTCCTAGGTCATAGCTATAAAATAGGAAAACAATTTCTTTAGAAAGTAGAGTTTTCCCAATTTATGTATTTTTGAGACAGGGTTTAATAAAGCCCAGGCTAGCCTTCAACTCCTAGTTCTCCTGCCTCTACCACCAATGCAGGTGGGTGCCACCAACTCTGGCTAAACTTTCATGATTGTATGTCCTCTTTGGTTTATAAATTCCCAATAGTCATTATTGTTTCATCTACTTTTTGTGCCTCGGGCCTCAAGCCAGCACAGTATCACCTGCATTCTCTTCATGTGGACATGATCTAGTATGTTCTTTCTTGTCATTTTTAACATGTTCCATAGCTGATGTCAGTTTAAATCACATGATCTATTCTTCCCCCCAGAAACTATAAAAACTGTTTATGAGATGTAGAAAAATATAACAGTAAATCTTTTTTGAACTAACAGGCAATCAACAGAATGTCATAATAAAACAGTTGGTGTAAAATTTGTAGTACATGCTTTAGTCAAATAATGTTTTAAAAATATCTGTTAGATGTAAGTTTTTCTTGGAAGCCATTGCTTGATCTGGCTAAATGGAGTGAAGCCACAAGGGGTCAGGAAGCATCTGCATGCGTACCTGAGGTGTCCAACTGCCCTTGCTCGAGAAGAGTCTCATCAATGACCAGGGACGTGTTATTGGGCAACTGGAGGAGACCGCTGACCAATCGATTGGCTGTATAATCTTTGTGGGGAATGAATTTCAACTGGTTCATGTTTTCTATTGTCATCTGTAGACGAAAAGACTGAGACAGAAATTGTAATGAGCAAGGCTCCAAGTTTCTTTATTAAAAAAAAAAATACAGACACATATTTGGAGTCAAAATATTTGTGTTTCACATGGTATGATATCATTTCTATCGGAAAGACAAAATGATTTCTGCAACTCTTAGAAACTGGCCACACTACAATCCATGCTTCTTATAGCTAGCTGCTTATTCTCCATCTTCATCTGGGCTGGGTATATACTAGACAGATAAGGTCATCTGGAGATACAAATAAAATTTGTTTCTATTCAAGTCTTGATGAATAGTTTTTACTCCGAAACAAGTGGTAGACAACCGGGGTTCAAAAACAACAGATCCCCAGAAGCTGAACTTAATTAAGGGACAGGAACTAGTAAAATACAAGACCTGCTGGTCCTCCTCACTGAGGCCAGAGAAAAGGCTCTGTGTCTGAAGGCCCCATTTCTTTACCACACATAGCTGCATGCCACTACAGACCTCACTGTCAACACTCCAGCCCTGAGCATGGCCCTCTCCATCTCTGCCTCCAGCCTCCACCACACTCAACAGTCTCCTATCTGTTCTACTCATACATGTTGCAGCCCCCAGAAAAGCAAGGTATGGGGGAGTCTGGAGGATGAAGAAGACTACAGCCAAAATGTAAGAGAATTTGCACTTAGGCTCAATTACTTTTAGAAAGGAGGACAGGAATTGTTTACAGATACAGATGAAATCCCACAAGAGGCAGGACTTGTCAAAAAAGGTAGCTGCCTGCAGAGATGACCAGTGGTGAAGAACACTTGTTCTTGCCGAGGACATGGGTTCTATTCCCAGCACCCATACAGTGGCTCACAGCCACCCACCTCTCCAGTTCCAGGTGACCCAACACCTTCTTTAAACCACCGTGGGCACCAGGCATGTGCATGATACATAGACACACGTGCAAGCCAAACACTGGCACACATAAAAAATCTTAATCATAAAACAAACAAAACAAAACGTGGCCATGTGCTGGGGCTGGAGCTAGGGCAGCACACATGTAACCAGTAGTAAAAGCTGAATGCTGTATTATAGAGAGCATAGCACTGAGAAAGGGCCTGGTACCAGTATGCTAAGAGTAAGAAAAGAGGAGACAGGGTCAGTTAAAAGCAAAACAGGAAAAGTAACCAGAACAAAATGCAAAGACCTACCACACTGCTGCCTCTAAGCCCCTCCTTCCTCCACCCTCTCCCATGTAAAAATGTAGCCAGTGTCTTCAGTGTGCCAGGAACCTCTGGCCTCACAACTGAGATCTGATGGCCTTTGGTGCAACCTTGTGTCTGACAGCTGGTACAACACCAACTTCTTTACTGACATCCCTTAAAAGCCATTCTGGGCCAGGCGTTTTGTTGGTGGTGGGCACCTTTAATCCTAGCATTTGGGAGGTAGAGGCAGGAGGATCTCTGTGAGGCCAGCCTGGTCTACAAGAGCTAGTTCCAGAAACATCCATGAATTTCAGAACTTGTGGATAAATGGGCACCGCCTGTGTCCTCCCATCCCATTTCAAAGATTCCATTGTTCTGCTGTGTATTGTTAAAAGCACACACTAGCAATTACTTTCTTGGTCTTGTACCACAAAAACATAACTTAGAGAACCTATTTCAGGAGTTGTGGGCCCAGGGAACTGCTAAGACCGTTACAGGGTCTATGAATTAAAGAAACACATTTACCCTCATTCTTTCAAAACGGAAGACAGAAAGAGTTTTTACTAGAGAATATGCTATCAGCTAAGAAACACACCAGATCAAAACATCACAGATGTAAATGCAGGAACGTACTAAAAATCTAGGGGGTCTCTTATTACTTTAGAAATTCAAGAGCTTGGCAAAATGCAAAACAGTGCCAGCTTTATCACTATTTTGATAAATATAACAAATTCATCAACATGTATTCGGTTTTAATTACTGATGTCAGAAATTAGGGAAAGCATAACCCACTGAATATGGCCCCAAGTCCTCAAGACTCTGCTGCTTCTGCAGCACTCTGCAGTGAAGGACCTGGCTTCACTTTTTAGTTACACAACTCATCAGAGCAATTCCCCTGTCCCTGAGATCCCAACACACAAATGGTGTGTTCCAGATGCTTCCAAACAGCACCTAAAACTGGGGCATGGAGATAGGCTGCTTTATTACCTCGGCTGAGAGAACTGACTCATATAATTTAGAGCTTTAGATTTCAAGTTTACTACACATACACAAAGGACCACACTGAAGGACCAAACTGGCAGACAGGAAGCATGATCTTAAGGCAGTCACTGCCACTGCAATAACTTTTAGAGTTACAAATTTATGCTGGGTCAATCAGTGTGAATACTGACAGTACATTTAAAATTATGTCAATTGGCATGTGTTGTCCCTTGTAAATGAGATAGATCCACAAGGAATACAAAGTTAGTACTTGAAGTGAGTAGAAAATAATTAGATTTGTTGTTCATAATATTTCATAATATTATCTTACTGCTGGAACAAGGTGTTGAATGATCCGATATAGGTGTTCTGTGAAGGTACTATTTTGTGGGCAGCCACTCAGGTTAACTGTAAATTTTCCTAGTGGAAGAACATCTCTTCTTGTATATCTAGGAGAGGGAAAAAAGGAAAAAAGGTAAGATACTGAAATACCATCATTAGACATTTTGTAGTAGCAGGAAGAAATAGTTTAGTGGTTAGGAACACTGACTGATCTTCCAGAAGACCAGGGATCAATTCCCAGAACCCACACGACAGCTCACAACCATCTTTAATTCTAGTTCCAGAGAGAATAAGATGTCTTCTTCTGGCTTCCACGGGCACTACATGCACAGATATACAGGCAATGTAGCCATACACATAAAGTAAAACTTTTGCAGACACTGGCTACTTTATCAGAACAGCAGCAGTTAAATAATAGCCAATACTTAAAAAAAAAAAAAACCTACTGCTCACATGCCTTTTCACCACTCTCCAACATTTCCAGGTGGGCTGTATTAAGAACTCTGAAGTACAAAATGCTGAGAAGTGCTTCAGAAGGTCTGCAAACTTCCTGGCTAAGCATGCCTAATATGAGATGGTAATTACTGCTTCCCAGTTTGACTTAAGCAGTATGCCTGTGGCTTGGGTATTTCAGACTTCCCAGCATTTTTTTTCCATTGGAAGGTGCAAGCAGTCAAGCAATGACAGAGCTATGACATGAACCCTGCTTTCAAGCATTACATACTGTCTTAGATGCCACAAGGGGAGAGTTTACAACAGAGAGATGCTTACTCTAACAGCCTTTACCCCCCCCCCCCACACACACACACGATGACCTAACATTTTGAGAAATGGGTACAGTATGGCACAATTTATAATGAACTAGCATACAGTCATTGCAAAGCTTCTGAAGAAGGCAGGGTGTGGTGGCATGCCCTCAGCACTCAGGAAACAGAAGCAAAAAGATCTCAATTGAGTCACAGACCAGCCTGGTCTACAGAGGGTTCCAGGCCAGGACTCTATAGTGACACCCTAGCTTTAAAAAAAAAAAAAAGTATTATGATGGGAAAATGGAGCTCACTAAATATTACACGTGAAAAGCAAAATAAGGATCTGTGCTTCAAACACCACTGACACTCACATGAGTAAGCACAACACATGGACATAAACCAAAGAACACGTACAAGTAGTAAATGAGAAAAGACTGTCATGTGACAGCAGGCAGTTTTCTTCCTATTATTAAGATATATTACTTTTGTAAGCAAAGCCAAAAAAAAAAAAAAAACAAACAAACAAACAAAAAAAAAAAAAAAAAAAAAAAAAACCAAAAAACCCTGCCAGGTTGTGGTGTCACACGCCTTTTAATACAAGCATTCAGGAGGCAGAGGCAAGCAGATCTCTTAGTTCAAGTCCAGTCTGGTCTACAGAGCAAGTTCCAGGACAGTCAGGGCTACACAGAGAAACTTTATTGGGGGGGGGGGGGAGGAGATGGGACATTAAAGTCAATATGCAAATTAAATATACACAAAGACAGGAATGACTGTCTTATAAGCAGAGCCTGGAGAAGCACAATACAAACGGGGATGGGATGCCTAGTATGCACAAGAAAATCCTGGGTTTAATTTACATTAGCATAAAGAAAAAAAGAATGCAGAAAAGATGGAACAGCTCATTTTTACTCATCAGTCATGTCCTGTCTGATCTTGCCTCTAACATTTACTAAGAATGACATAATCAAAATGTTTTGTGTGAAACTAAGAAAGGGTAAAGAAAGAGGAACCTGTATTGGTGCAACATTTGATGTATGGAACAAAAAACTCCCACCTGAAGACGAAGCTGATAAACTAAAACAACTAAAACCACAGCTGTTCCCTTCCTCTCCTAATCCCACACCTCAGTTCCCAAGAAGAGCACAGCACTTACACTGTTGAGATGAGATGCAATATAAGGTATTCAGCAGCCAAACTATCTCCCAAAAGCGCATGTGTGAGGAATCCAAGTAGCTCTGCTCTGACCGGAGACAACTCAGACATGAAACTGGACACAACTGCAGGAGGAAGGAAGGCAAATGAAGTGTGCACACCAGCTCTGCACCAGCACCTCAGTGCAAGAACAGGAAGGAGCACTACAATTCTGGAAGACAATGAGCATGAACTTAGAGTAACGGCTGACAAATGATGCCAATATCAGAGCTGGAAAGACGCTTCAGAGAATAAAGGCACTTGCCACCATGTCTGATGACCTTTGTTTGACCCCATAGACCCACACACTGGAAGGAAGGCGAGAACTGACTCCTTTAAATTCTCCTTTTACCTCCACATGCAGGTTCTAACCCTCCCATAAATAAATGTAATATAAAAAAAATTAAAAAGGGAACTGGCGCAGCACGCCTTTAGTCCCAGTACTTGGGAGGTAGAAGCAGGTGGATCTCTGTGAGTTCAAGGCCAGCCTGGTCTACAGAGCTAGTTCTAGGACAGACTCCAAAGCATACAGAGAAACCCTGTCTCAAAAAAGAAATACAAAACAAAACAGCACACAAAAAACAAAACAAACAAACAAATTAAAGTGATGCCAACTGTTTACTCATTAATGGCAAGAATTAATAGAAGAGGAAATGGGGCAAAGCCACAGACATTATTAAAAAACTCACTCTGCTCAGCAGGGACTATGGGCCCCTGGAAGTGAAACTGCCATTCCATGGGCTCCAACACTTACACTTACAGGTTCTGCTCTCCTCCTTGTTAAGGCAAGTGGGTAACAAAGGATTGATGTGCTGCAGCTTCTGGGCTAAAATCACATGAATTCTTGGCACTAATGAAGCTGGAGGACTATGCACCCTCTGCTCTTCTGCCATGTCTGTACACTCCATGGAATCCAGTAATGCAGACGCCTCCCTGTGGAGAGAGGGATATGTTAGTTTAGAGCTGCCAAATAACAAAGGTGCAAAAACAACATACACTCTGAAGACACTCCTAATCCTACTCAACAGATTCTCCATCTCCCAATGTCAGAATGTGGTCCCTCAATGTAAAGTGGTTTTTAATCACTCACAAATGCTGGCTCATTGTACAGCACAATGGGTTTATTCGACTGCCCAAAACAAATGTGTTTAACTCAGTGAGCTAACGGTGTCACGTACACAACAGAGGATGTCATTCACAAGGCCATTTCAAATCAGGTGCTCCTTGAATTTTCACATTGAAACACTGCTGAATAACTTATATTGCATCCTTTTCTCCAAAGCCATGGTGTTTATTACTGAGTGCAGAGAATCATGCACCTCTATCTTGCTAATGGCTTTGCTAAATTTTATTCTCATGTGATGCTCCACCTCTTCTGAAATTGTGGGCAAATGATTAAGACAGTATGAACTTTCAGGTTGCTAATCAATTCTAATGATAGACTCACTCTGAAGTCACTGAGCGAATGTGTAAAGTCTTCAACTATACATACAAACTCCATCAGATCTCACAAGCTCACAAATCCACTCCACAGTCTGCCTCAGTCTGTGCTCTGCCCCTCTGAATCAAGAAGCCTCAATAATCATGTAATTAAGAAAGCTGTTGGTTCTGGTGGTGCATGCCTTTGATCTCTGCACTCAAGAGCCAGAGGCAGGCAGATGAATGAGTTCGAGGCCAGCCTGATCTGCAAAGTGAGTTCCTGGACACCTAGGGCTGGCTAAACAGAGAGACCATGTCTTGAGAAAAACAACAAGTATTATTTGCCAACATTTTTGTATTGTTGTTCTATTCTCTCTTTTTCTTTTTTGAGACTGGGTTTCACTATGTAATCCTGGCTGTACTGGAACTCACTATATAGAACCAGGTTGGCCTTGAACTCACAAAGATCCACCTGCCTGTGCCTCCCGAGAGCTGATTAAAGGTTTACACTACCACGCCTGGTCTTTTCAAATACTTTTAAGTGTATGTAGAAAGCCAATAACCACATATCATCCAACAAGTCTGCTGCAGGTATGTTGGTGCCAGTTCTTCCTTCCCTTAAGCAAAAGGAAAGATTGAACAAGGTCTAGATTCCCCCATTTTGTTATATAATTAAAAAAAATATATATGCACACAAATATACCATCACTTATAGAAGAAAAAAAAGTGGTGGGAATACGCGTAGCTACACACTTTCCCAAAGGATAAACATAGGAGGGACAGTCAGAGAATCTGACTAGGAATCTGGTTCCCAGTGGGCGGGACAAAAAGAGCAGGGATGGGAATACCCAAAGGCACTCCTGCATACTTTTGGGATAGCATAGTCCTTCTAGTTCTGTAGTAATGGAGAAAAGCTGGGAAGTGAAATTAACCACACAAATGAACCTACATGAAACAAACACCAAAATCAAAATGGACAAGAGAGGTACCTGGGCCACTGTGGAGGGTAGCATTCTGAATACAAAGCCGAGTACCAGATGCTGGTGTGCTGGTATAATCCTAGCATTCAGCAGACAGAGTTAGGAGGTCTGACACAAGTTTGAGGCCAGCCTGGCCCATATAGTGACATGCTGTCTTAAAGGACAAAAAAATGAAAACAAAGACACTGGAAACAGACACTAAATGTTTAATCTCAAGGCTCTTCCTTAGTAGCACTGCTCGCCATTTCTGTAAATCCCCTCTGTGCACCCTGCAGAAGTCGGCCAAACACTGCGGACAGAGCATACAACTAAAGAAGAAGACAACTGGAATGACAGAGCTTGTACTGAATTGAGTGTGAACTCAAGGCTTTTTCTTTTTTGAGATTGTCTTACTATATTACGTAGCCCAAACTGGTCTAGAACTCAGTTCTTTCTGTCTCAGCCTTCCAAGTGCTAGGATTATGCCTGTGTTTTATCATGCACAGCAAATTCATAGCTTTTCTTTTCTTTCTTTTTTTCAGAGGCAGGGTTTCTCTGTGTAGTTTTGTAGACCAGACTTGGCCTCAAACTCAGAGAGATACTCCTGCCTGTTAAAGGCATACACTACTGCCCAGCTAAATTCATAGCTTTTCATAGAAAATACAAAAATACATTAAAAAATTTTAATGTCGTGAGGATTCTTATCTGTTACCCTACATAAAACTCAACTCCAAATGAATCAAGTAGGGTGTACTCTTGAACTTACAGGCTCAGGAAGTCTTTCTAAACAGTACCCAGAGGACAGGCATTATGACTAACAAGTGACAAATGGAGCACGTGAAGTCCTGAGAAGGCATAACCTTGAAGAAGCAGAAGAAGGAGAGGTCCCTAAGAATTGGAGGAGTGCCTGGTAGGAGACTTCAGAACTGGGTTTCTCTTCTCTCTGCCTTTCATATCCTAGCCACTAGATGAGTGTTTTCTTCTCAGCCACACTTCCCACCATGATAGCAGACCTCCATACAGAGCAAAATGGCCCAGTACATGTGGTAGGAACTCCGCAACTGTGAGTCACACACCGGCTCTCTGCAAGTAGATGATCTCAGGTAGGGCAGGCAGAAAGCTAACAGTCTCCTAGATCCATCCATTAGGATCCAAAACTGAACCAACCCAATATCAGTTAATACTTACTCTTGACTTAAATAAATATAATTCCTCACCAGGAAAAAAAAAAAAAAAAATGCCTTCCTGGAAAAACTAGATGATAATAAGCTGGTTCATACAAAGTCCAAGCTGCTTAATGTGACAGGATATGAGGTCATCTTAAGGAGCTATAGTTGTTGTAGGATATTACTTTAACTGTGCAAAGATGTGTTACACTTGTTTATGCTGCATGTGTTTAATTATGTAAAGATGTATTGCTTTGCCTGACTAACATACCAGACTGGTTTAATAAAAGGCTGAATGGTCAATAACTAGGCAGAGGAGGGAAAGGTGGGGCTGGTTGGCAGAGAATAAGTAGGAGGAGGAATCTAGGCTTGAGGGAAAAGAAAATGAGGAGTACAACAGAGAAAGAAAAGGAGACACCCAGCAGCTGCCAGACAGACAGACAGAGTAGGACATACAGAATGAAAGAAAGGCAAAAAGCCTGGAAGCAAAATGTAGATGAAGCGAAACAGGTAAAAGTAAGTTATAAGAGCTGGGGACAGGCATAAACTAAGGCCGGGCATGCATAACTAATAATAAGTCTCTGTGTTGTGATTTGGGAGCTAGTTGGTGGCCAAAAGAAAGTATGCTATATAGTTTTTCACTGTGGCTCCTACTAGCTAAATCTGGGAAAATCTGAGTTTCAAATGACATACTGATAATGAAATTACTTGAATAACAACTGTAAGAGGGATATAGTAGAAAATAGCTATTGTAGCAGAGACAAAAGTTACTGAAAAACCTTTGAGAGACACAAGTCACAGATGCTGAGAAGCTGCACATTCAATCTTTGAAATTATTAATGACCAAATGAAAAGCACTAACATGACAGGAGACACCACCTTAACTGAGTGGTTGACATTAACAACACTCTCATGGATTGTTGGCATGGCACTGGGAAGACTGACGGAGCCTGGCTTATATCCATAGCCAAAGGCTGCAGAAATGACAAGCACATGGGGCATGGGTAGTGGTAACTGGTAATCTGAAGACAGGAAACGAAGTTCTGTATAACCATCTGCCACTTCTGAAATGAAAAAGTAACAAAGAAAAATCTAGACAACAGACTTACCTTTCTTCATTATTCAGTATGCTCAGGACAGGATCCACAGACAGCACACCATATAACTCAAGAACATCATTGACTTTGAAGCAATCCCAGTCTTCATAGACCTGATGACAACACAAAGTCAGGTTAACACTCAACGACATAACCAAGATCAGCCAGGAACTCAGCAGCCAAACAGCTCAACCAGCAAGCATGTGAACAACCATGATCCCACGAGGCTGGCAGTCAGTCAAAAGCGGAACCAGAGCCAGGTGAGTCCACCACAGAGCCTACCCAGCTGGTCTAATACTTTCTATGTGGCCCACACTGACCTTGGACTCAAAGCAATCTCCAGGACCAAGTGTGGGGATTGATGGTATAAGATGCTATTATCAGTTTTAGTTTTTTGCATCCGGGTCATGCTACTGCCACTCAGGCTAGCATTGAATCTTGATCTTCCTATCTCAGCTTCCAGAAATGTGGGATTATGGGCATGTGATGCCAACATCCTTTATTATAAATACAAGTGAGAAGTGAGTTTTGAAAAAGTAAAGTAGCAGAAGTAAAATATTATAAAGTTAGAAATGACATAGGAAGGAAGTAGACATGAATTTAAAAGTTGTTCCACTTTTTTGGGGGGGGGGGTTCAAGATAGGGTTTCTTTGTGGCTTTGGAGGCTGTCCTGGAACTAGCTCTGTAGACCAGGCAGCCTTGAACTCAAAGAGATCTGACTGCCTCTTCCTCCCAAGTGCAAGTTGTTCCACTTTTGAATATGACTTTCCCACCTTTTGTTTGTGAAACAGGGTATGCTGGCTGGTTTCATGTCAACTTGACACAAGCCAGAGTCATCAGTGAGGAAAGGAGCCTCAATTGAGAAAATGCCTGCCTCCATAAGACCAGGCGTGGAACATTTTCTTAGTGTTTGATGTGGGAGGACCAGTCTATTGTGGGTGGGTTATCCCTCAGCTAGTGGTCCTGGGTTCTGTAACCAGGCTGAGCAAGCCAGAAGGAGCAAACCAGTAGGCAGCACTTCTCTCCATGGCTTCTGCATCAGCTCCTGTCTCCAGGTTTAAGTTCCTGTCTCAACTTCCTTTGATGATGAATTAATATGGAAGTATAAGTCAAATAATCCTTTCCTCCCCAGCTTGCTTTTGGTCATGGTGTTTCATCATGACAGTAGTAACCCTGACTAAGACACGGGGTCTCACTATGTAGCTCAGACTGGGTTTGAATTCTCCACCCTTCTTTCTTTATTCCCTGAGCACTGAGATCATAGGCATATAACACCAAACCAGGCTCCGCGTTGGTCAATCTTTTTTTTTTTTTTTAAAAGACAGGGGTTCTTTGTGAAACTGTCCTGGCTGTCCTGGAACTCACTCTATAAACCAGGCAGGGCTTGAACTCACAGAGATCTGCCTACCTCTGTCTCCAGAGTGCTGTGTGTTGTGGTAGCCAAAATAAAGAGACCCTCCAAAGATGGTTATAGCCCAACCACTGGAATGCTAAGTATGTTACCTCACATGCAAGGTACTTGCAGCTGTGCTCAAGGACCCTGAACACATCTAATATCCTGGATCATCTAAGTGGGGCTCCGTGTCAAAGGGAGAGCCTTTTCTGATGGAAATGTCACTATAAAAAACATGGTCAGAAAGATGCAGTGTTGCTGTCTTAAAGATGGAGATGCCACACAGCAAAGGAATGCAGGTAGCCTCTCAAAGCTGGATAAGGCAAAAGACAAAAACAAACTAGATCCTGCCCTCCCTCCATTCCTCTAGAGCCCCCTAGGTTTTATTCAGTTCTCATGTCAGACTTAGGACCTAAACTTGTAAAATAACTTACTGTTTGTTGTAAATGACTAAATCTGGGATAATTTATTATAGTGGCAAAAGAAAATTCAGGCAAATGCTGAGGGCTTTCTAATGCCTCATTTCTGAGGTGGTAGCATCTATGGATAGAGCTAGGAAAGGCTGTACCTTAACGAGGCAGGCAGGGCCCTTCTCTCCTGGCAGGGGGAAGTTCAGATCAAATGGGGAAGAAAGGTTCAAGGAGTTCAGCTGTTGCCCAGTAGAAGCTTCAGTTTCTAAGCGCTTTGGTTCTCCGCACCAGTGAAGGCCACCGAAGCCCCCTAGACTCAAACAGCATTGAATGAGGTCACTTCTAAGCCCAAAGAACATTCCAAAAGTGCTTTTCAAGTTTGATATAAATCATACCCAATTTTAATAACATTGTTTGATTTCTATGAGAACAAAGATAGATACATACCTAAAATATGTAATTCTTTTCTTACTATGAAATGGCAACAAACTACCCCATCAAACATAATGGAAGTTTTTTATTTTCTTTTTTTGAGACAGGGTCTCTCTCTGTAGAGCAGGCTGGCACTAAACACATCCTGCTATCTTAGTCTCCTTAGTATTAGGATTTTAGATGTAAGCCATGATACCCAACTATTATAAGTACTTTTAAAAGTTAATTTCATCCCACCCAGCTATGATGAAACTTATGAAACACATCAATGACCAGGACAATACGATAAACCTAAGAGTGTAGTAGTGGCACAAATACCTCAGCGGTAACCAACAGCTATCTAATTGGACTTAAGACCCACACAACAAAAAGGAAACCATGCCTAGTACTGGAAAGCACTCAGTGCTAGTGAAGTCATGGATAATGAAGGAGAATCTACAACCACTATGTTACTAAATCAGCATCGATCCCTAACAACATTCTTTGAAGAGTTGTTCTTACACCCACAAGTATATACAGTCTCACTCCTCATCCAGGAAACTTCTCTGTAAAAGATGAAGACCACTACAGAAAACCACAAACAATCAAATGCAGCTATGGAGACCAATGCCAGTGGATACATCTATGAAACAACTCCTGCACCCAAAACTCAGGGAGCATTGCAGAAGAGGAGGCAGAAAGGTTTTAAGAGCCAGATGACCAGGAACTTTGCTGTGAGATTGGGTCTCCTTGAAACATCAGAAAGTACACCTGTAAAGTCTCACCAACATGACTACCTAAATGTGAGCTGAATAAGGAAGACACCATGGGAAAAAAGCCCACAAGACTTCAACCCTATGCAACTGAGTAAAGCTGGAAACAGGAGAGGTGACCCTCCCCAGGGAAAAGCACACAAATTGGTTGTCCAGTGCCAAATAGTAATCCCTTAAAACATACATTTGAAAGAGAGCAGGAAGGGGTATACAAGAGGATCTGGAGGGAGGAAAAGAAAGGGAGAATGTAGTCAAAATACAATCTTAGCTGGGCATGATGGTGCAAGCCTTTAGTCCCGGCACTCTAGAATCAAAGGTATGAGGATCTCTGACCTCCATGACAGGGTCTCTCTGTGTAGTTCTGGCTGTCCTGAAACTCGCTCTGTAGACCAGGCTGGCCTTGAACTCATGGAGATCCACCTGCCCCTGCCTCTCCAGTGCTGGGATTAAAGGCTAGCACCACCACTACCCAGCATTAACTTCTTTTTGTGTGACTTCATCCTATTTAAAATAAGAAAAGACTATGTCTCCCAAGGTTTTTTGTTGTTGGTACAACATCTGTTCTTCAGATATAAAAGATATCCACAAATATACATGAAATTAATAAACGTAAAAAATTAAGGTGTGGCCGCACATGCCTTTAATCTAGTGCTTCTCAACCTGTGGGTCATGGCCCCTTTGGGGGAATCTAATGACCTTTTCATAGGGGTTGTATATCAGATATCCTGAATATCAGATTTTTATATTACAATTCATAACAGTATCAAAATGACAGTTATAAAGTAGCAGTGAAAATAATTATGGTTGGAGGGTCACCACAACATGAGGAACTGAATTAAAGGGTCATAGCAGCAGTCACAACTGCTACTACACAGTGGGTTCCAGGACAACCACGGCTGCATAGAAAGATCCTGCTTCATAAACAAACAAAAATGAGAATAGCAATAATGGCTCAGTGGTTTATCAACTACTAGAGATATAAATATGGTGGCTGCTTCCAAAGTAGTTACCATTTGAGGTTGATAAGTATTTAGAATAAAAATATAACCTGCATTAATATGGAATACTAGTCAAAAATTGAAAATACAAACAAATCTGATACATGCAATAATGTAGATGGATTTCAAGAAAAAGTTTACGAAGTGGGTGACTTCATTTACATAAGAATCTTGTAATGACCAGGTATAAGATCTGGGTAATGAACTATGCTGTACCTTGCCCGTTGTAGTAGCTATGTAAAACTACACATAACTAAGTATACACAAGTCTACCCCTGCAAAACTGTGAGCTCTGAATAAAGCTGATGGATCCTTCTTTCAATGCCACTTTCTGGCTGTGATTTATTAAAAGTACTCCAGGGTACAGACTGCAGCTCTTGTCTGATGTGTGAGGTCCTGGGTTCCAATCTCTTCATAGAAAGGGGGGAAAAAAAAAAAAAAAAAAGAATAAGCTCTTAACATTATAAATACACAGGTGTCACTATTAAGGTTATGGAATCTCTCTGTATAACTTCTCACAATGCTATCTAACTCTACTGATCTCAAAATGAGGAAGTTTTAAAATTCTGTGTAGCCTGAAAAAAAAACCTAGAAACAAGCAGCATACTGCACAAATGTACAAAATCTTGCAAGTCCACAACACTCAGACAAAAAGAAACAGAATCACCCCTCCCCCAAATGAACAAACAGAAAGAAAACTACCACACAGAAAGAAAACTACAAATTCCCTGGATTCAATCCTCACTTAAAACATGCTGTTAATCTGAATGAACTATAAGGATAAAAAAACATACTACCCAGTAGCATAAATTGTCTTTGGTCTTAATAGTAAAAACTCAGAGACAAGATCAAAGAAGCAAAGCAGCCAGCCCCCTGGAGAGTTCTCACCTCCACCAAAGCACAGACTGAAGGGGCCACCCCCCAAACCTCAGACTGCTCTTCTCTCCGCCAAACCTCAGACTCAGTCAGCTCCTGTCTCCTCCCACCTTATATTCCTCTCCAGTGTTGGGATTAAAGGCGTGGGATCCCAAGTGCTGAGAGCATTCTATGAGCTGTTTCTCTTCTAGATTGATTCACTCTTGTGTAGCCCAGGGTGGCCTTGAACTCACAGAGATCCATCTATCCCTTTCTCCTGGGTCCTGGGATTAAAGGTATGTGCCACCACCGCCTGGCCTCTATGACTGTGGCTAGCTTTGCATTCTGATCTTCAGTCAAGCTTTGTATGTTAGATTATAAACAAAATTATCACCACACTACCCCATCTATGTTCACCAGTTTAATCTTCCAGTTTAAAAGACAATCTCTGTTGAGTTCAAGCCAGTCTGGTGAGTAGAGTGAGTTCCAGGACAGCCAAAGCTTCACAGAAAAACCTTGTCTCAAAAAACAAACCAACAAACAACAACAAATAATCAGTATTCTAACTCTATAAAATACAATTACAAATGCCAATTCACAATACAGCCAAATGAAATTTATCAGTATACCTTTATATTCTTGACTGTTCAATCAACCCCCTTAACCCTACTTTAACCCTACTTTAAAGACAAGAGATTCTCACTTCTGAAGGGAAGTGACCAACTTGCCATATGAAGAAAGTCACTGTTCATTAAGTCCAAGAATAAAGTAAGTAATACATGGGGATTCAGAATTCTTAAGCTCTTATACAACATCAACTGCTGTCTCCAGGGTGCATTAGAATTAGTTATACATGAACCTGGGGTGGTGTTGCATACCTCTTTTAATCCCAAAGTCTGAGGCCAGCCTGAACTACAGAGTAAGTTCCAGTACAGCCAGAGCTACATGGAGAAACCCTGTCTTGAAAAACAAAACTAAACAAGCACACAATAACAACAAAAATCAACAGAACTACCATGGGTTCAAAAAGCAAGCAAGAAAGGATGTTTTCAACTAAGTCAGTTTTAGGGTCAAGTACAACTATGCTTTCTATTGGTCAAGAATCATTGGGACAACAATTATGAAGATAGAAAAAAAACACTTTTTCCTGTCAACCACTTGAAACTAAAAGCATCCATCAGAGCAGCTTTCCAAAGAGTACTCACTGTAAAAATGCTCAAAGTGCCTATAACACACCCACCCCAGCTAGGGATGGAATCAGGTCAAAGGCCAAAGTTCTACTACCCAGCTTCACCCTGATCAACACCATCCAGTTAGAATGACCGTGAAATGAAGTTTTCACACCACACCGGTTCCCAGATCTAGAACTATGTTAGGAAACAATCCTGAAAACACACCTAGTTGTCAGGAGGAAACTGCGGGTACACATTACCTGCTTGCGGGGCACCTGCATGTTGGTCTTTCTGTTTATTGGGCTGTAGGTCCATATCTTCATCATCTTCATAACTCCTCTTGTGCCGACTGGGAGTATAGGAAGTTGAGGGACTGACTCGAGCTTGGTTTGCATTGACATAGGCGTTAAATAAAAGGTTAAGAAGACAATCGGCTTGAACCAGATGATCCTAAATTATGCTAATATATAGTTATACAACATCACCAGTTTGACAATTCAAAGTATTTTTTAAAGATTTATTTAATTTTATTTTATGTTTACGAGTGTTTTACCTGCAAGTATGTTTGTTTACCACATGCATGCATTGCTCTTGGAGGCTACAAGAAAGAGTCAGATTCCCTAGACCTGGAATTACAGACCATTCTGAGCAGCTATGTAGAGTAGATACTGGGAACCAAACCCAGATCTTCTGCAAGAGCAGCCAGGGTTCTTTTCTTTTGAGAAGAGGTTTCTGTTAGCCCTGGATGTCCTGAAACCCATTCTGTAGACCAGGCTGGTCTCAAACTCAGATATCCACTTGCCTCTGCCTCCCGAGTGCTGGGATTAGAGTGTGCCACCACCGCCAAGTTGCAGCCAGAGTTCTTAATAGCTTAGTCATCCCTCAGCTCCTAAAATACTTTTAAAAGGAGGCTAGACTTCCAGTTTTTGTATGAAAGTAAGGTTCCTTTCTATGCCACACCTCCTCTCAGTAAAAAAAAAAAAAAAAAAAAAAAAAAAAAAAAAAAAAAACAACACAGATGAAGTATTTGTCTGCAGGCATTAGACAACAGTGAAGGTAAGGTTATGATTCTTGAATAAGGAGATACTACCCAAGAAAAAACTCGACATCCTTCTGGCTACAGGAGGACCTTTCAAACTGTAGCAAAGATGAGTAGACGTCTCTCACTGGATGGAGAAGAAAGCCCAGAGCTCAGAGTTACAAAAAGCAGCAGAAATTTGCAAAAGGGTATCCAGAGAAGCCAGCTGTAAACAGAAGATCCAGGAATTTTTATCTCTAGCCAAGCATCAAGTTGCAGATTCTAACTCAAGTTTCTCATTCCTAAAGGCCCAGGAGACAACTTAAACAAAGACTGTGCATGCAAGCATCACACATACCTGGCAGAAAATCCCAGGCATTTAAGAACTAGATACACACACACACACACACACACACACACACACACACACAAACCACCACAAAAAAAAAAAAAAAAAAAAAAAAAAACCAAGCTGGGTGGTGGTGCATGCCTTTAGTCCCAGCACCCACTCTGTGAGTTTGAGATCAGCCTGGTCTATAGAGCTAGTTTAGTTTCAGGACAGGCTCCAAAGCAATACAGAGAAACCCTGTCTTGAAAAACCAAAAGAACTAGATATAGCCCATGTTGTTGTTCAGGGGCTATGTCTCTATGTCTTACAGAACAGAAATAACTCTATAACCCATCCTGGTAAGTTCCTAAACCACAACGTGATCCAACATATAAAGTGCAAGAAGCAAATTCAACCCTTTTGAAGACAGGAAACTCAAGTCTCTACTACAATGTTGCTTTTTAGGAGATAATAAAATAGTAGTCAAGTAAAGAAACTTGAAAATCTGACCTATTACTAGATTTTTAAAGCAATGCAAACAAACCCAGAGATCATAGACTCTGGAATTAGTGGGTAGGGATTAACAGAAAGGTATTTCCCAACATTAAAGGACAGAGCTAGAGATGTAGCTCAGTTGATAGAATGGTTGCCTAGCATGCATAAAGCCCTGAGTTAATTTCTGCCACCTCATAAACAGGTGTGGTAGTGCCAGCCTATAATCCCAGTACTTCAGAGGTGGAGATAGGATGACCTGAAATTCAACATCATCCTTGGAAATAAGGCAAATTCTAGTCCAGCCTAGGCTACATGAAAAACTGTATCATATTTTATGAGTAAACAGAAAAGGAATATTTAGAGAAATGTAAATACTGACATACCCAAATGGAAAATTAGATCTGAAAATAAAATCTGTGAAAGGTAAATTTAAGCCCAGCCTAGGCTATATGAAATGCTATCTCAAAAACAAAAATGACAGGTAAGTAAACAGATGAGGAATATTCACAGAGAAGTAAAAACACTGAAATAACCAGATGGAAAATGAGATCTGAAAATAAAGGATGTGGAATGAGGGAAACAACAAAACCCAAACTACCTCTGTTGACCCTGCCCCTACCCCAAACCACTCAGAAACACACTCACACACAAAAGAGTGGTCTGTTAATAGACTAGAAATGGAGGGGAAAAAAACTCAGTGAACTTGAACACAGGTTAACATTAACAATACAACTACAGCAAAACGGGGGTGGGCATCAAACAACAAAACAAAAATCCAGTAATTGGGGTGTTCTCTGTAGGGGAATGCTTTGCCTGCTTCTAAGGAATTGGGCTCAACTTCTAGCAACAGGATTAAAAAAACAAGTCAAAAGCTGGTGGTAGTAGCCCATGTCTTTAAACCCCCCCCCCCCCAAAGCACTCAGAGGTCAGCCTGGTCTACAAAGCAAGTTCCAGGACAGCCAGGGCTGTTACACATGGAAACCCTGTCCAAAAAAAAAAAAAAATCCCAAAAAACAAAACAAAAAAGAAAAGAAAACCCAAGAAACGAAAAGGCGAAATGAACAAAAGATGACTATCAAAATAAAAGATCAAGCAGTCTTATGTGATTGACATTCCAAAAAATGGCTGGGAAGAGAGCTCAGTCAGTAGTGTGCTTGCCTCCCAGAGCTCACATTAACAAACAACAAACAAAACTTCCAGCTGGGCACTCACACAGTCATACAAAAACTCATACAGTGTTTTGTACTGAGATTGGGACAGAAAAACTATCTGAAGAAATGACTAAAATTATTGCTGAATATCCAGAAACTAGAAAGTTCAACAAAACCCGATTAAGAGAAGTACATTTCCCAAGAAAAGGGCACAGGAACCCTCAAGCTCCCAAACCAAAAAATCCATACCCAGGCACACCAGAGTTAAAAGGCTGAAAAGAGAAAGAATATTTCAGAAGCAGCAAAAGGAATACAAAAGACATACTATAGAAAAGGAGTAATAGGAATGATAGTTAACCTCTCATCAAAAAATAATGGAGGCTGAGAGATGGTGACACTGTATCATTAACACACCAGCGAAGAGAAATGTGTCAATCAAAAATTTTACATTTAATGAAAATTTCCTTCAAAAATAAAGGTGAAAAGAGCTGAACTTTCATGAAGGAATTTGAACACCACCTCAGACCTGTTCTTAAAAAAAAAAAAAAAAAAAAAAAAAAAGAGGGGGGAGAGCCAAGGAAAATAATCTCTCTCTCTCTCTCTCTCTCTCTCTCTCTCTCTCTCTCTCTCTCTCTCTCTCTCTCACACACACACACACACACACACACACTCAAACACACACACAAAGAACAAAGAGAACCAGAGATAGTGAACATGTTACAAGTATAAATGATGTAGTTTTTTTTTTTTCCCTCAGTTTATACAGAAGACAAACAAGGGGCCAGAGAGATGGCCAGCAGTTAAGACCACCTACTGCTAGAGGACAGGGTTCAGTTTCCTGCACTCACATCAGATTACTCGCAACCTCCTGTATGTAACTTCAGCTCTAGGGGATTCAATGCCCTATCCTAAATATATCCTTATAAATAAATATGTAAACAAATTAATACATTAATTTAAAGAAAGCTGGAAAGATGATTTAGTGGAAAGATGATTTAGTGGTTAAGAGCACAGGCTGTTTTTTTGAGAGGGCCTTGGTTCCATCCGAAGCACTCAAAGAGTGGCCGATAACTGTCTTTAACTCCAACTCCAGTCCCAGGGGATCTAACATTCCCCTTTATTCTTCTAGAGCACAAGGCATGCCCTTGGTGCACAGACATACATGCAGCTAAAAAATCCTATACACATAAACAAGCAAATACCAGTAACACAGGCTCTGCAGTGTATATACAAAGGAAATACATGATGATAGTAACACAAAGAAAAGGAGACTACAAAAAGACACTGATGAGACAGTGGAGATCAAAGAGATCACAAGGAAGACTAAATCCAAAGCAGTGATCAGAAGAATTTATTGCTCTAATATTAGGGAGGAATTTACTTATTCTAACTGACAATACCAGAAAAATCTGAAATCAATAACTCAATGTCTTGCTCAAGAAGCCAGAAAAACCAAACTCTGGGGCTGAAGATGTAGGTTGTGGCAGAGGGTGTACCCAAAATATAAAAGGGGATGGGCTTAACCCTCAGCTCTGCAAAAAGGGAAAGAAAAACTAAACACAGAATGAGATCAGGAAAGGGTAGGAATCAAAGGAGGCAGAACTTTTTAGAGAGCATATTTGACAAACTCCTGGCAACACAGCTGGTGGGGGGGAGGGAAGAAAAATAAAGTAACAGCACTGAGGACAAAGAACCAAACTAGAGAAGACACACCCACACTAAAAGAAACAGGGAACACCATGCAAAGTTTAAAAGGTCAAAATTTGGTCAGGCTTGGAGGCACATGATGTAATCCCAATAGTTGGAGGCAGATCCGGAACTGAAGGCCAGCACTTGAGCTGCATGAGACCTTGCCTCAAAACATAACTACCACCAAAACAAAATAACCAGCTCCCAAACCCAAGTTTTAACTAAATGGAACATGTATTTGAAAACACAGCTTACTGGGGCTGGAGAGATGGCTCAATGATTAAGAACACTGACTGCTCTTGCAGAGGACCCAGGTTCTGATTCCAGCACTCACACATGTAACTCCAGTTCAAAAGGATGTGAAATTTTTTTCACTTCCCCATGGGCTCCCATAGTGTACATTAAACTCAATGAAGAAACACATACATAACTGTAAAAACTAAAATAGATCTTTAAAATCAGAATGCACTTCTAATTCCAAAGTGCATTCTTATAATACTTAAGTATCTATAAATCTATCTCAATCTATTTTAATAGTATTTCAACTATAGGGATATACCATAACTTTGGTATTTCTCTGTGATACTTAAATATATCTTTTATTAAAGACATGATTTGTATATGAACACATTTCTTCCTAGGATAAAAAGATTACAACTCTATAATATGAATTGTGATCCTTTAAATTAAGAAAAAAAAATTAAGAGTCACTTAGCAAATAGTAAGGTTCAGATAGAGGATATCTCTTTGACCCATGAAGATTCCCCAGGCACTGGAACACAGTAGAAAGTCTGTCTTTCTGCAGTGGTAGATCGCGGAGAGTTTAAGTCAAGCTCCTGTTGAGGCTATGATATACAGAAAAGCAATTTTAAATTTTTGTTCAGAAAAATACATTTTTTTATTTTAAAATCAAAATAAATCTTATTACCTCAAGTTAATCTAATTAACAAGCAATTAACTTCAAGTTGGTTTTTTTTTTTTTTTTTTTTTTTTTTTTTTGGTGAGCCATCATCTCCATATGTAGCTCTGGCTGACACGGAATTTGTGATCTTCCAAATCAGACTTCCAAGTACTGGGAAGCATGGTAAAAGCAGATGCTGTCACCACCACACACTATGCTTCCCAAACTACCTTCTTTTCTCTTTTCTCTTTTTTTTTTGGGGGGGGTAGGGTGAGAGGGTGTCACTTAGCTTGTGTTGGGCTCTAACATTTAGCAATCCTCCTGTATCAGGCTCCCAAATTCAGGAATTACAGGAGTAAGCCACTATATCCAGCTTTCTAACTTCGATTTTTACTATATTTAATCAATTATTTACTGTGTATGTGGCAGGAGAGACATGTGCATGCCATGGCTTACATATGGAAGAGAGAGACAGACAACTGTAGGAGTGGATTTTCTCCTTCCACCGGGTGGGTTTCAGGGACTGAACTGGTCACCAGGCTTGGCTGCAATTGCTCTTACCCACTGAGTTATCTCAAGCCAGCATTTTAAAAAACAAAATCAAGGGAAATCTTTCAAACACAATAGCCAAAGCAATGCCTTCCTTAAAGCCATAACACATACATAGTACCCTACTTATGAAACTATAACCTCCAGATGACAAAAGTGCTCAATAAGCTCTCTTTAAAGAAAGCAACCAATTCAGCCTATGCTATCAAAATTTAGCAATGCTCATTACAGTTACCTCTGAAATGGATTTAAAATTCAAACCTTACTCCCCAGGGAAAGCAGTCTAAATATTTACTTTAAAAGCTATGAAAAGGGGTTTTCCTTAATACATCTACCTTTGTTCTGCTTAAAAAAAAAAAAAAGTCCTAAGAAGGAAAAATAGCCCCCCCAGGACAGCCCGAAACTGAGATTAGACTCAAACTGGGTTTTAAAAAAGAAAAGAAAAAGATAAAAAAAAAAAAAAATGCAGATAAACTAGGCAGTGATAGCACACACTTTAATCTCAGCACTCGGGAGGCAGAGGCAGGATCTCCTCCGTGCGTTCGGGGCCAGCCTGGTCTACAGAGCCAGTTCCAGGCCAGCCAAGGCTACACAGAGAAACCCTGTCTCAAAAACATCTCCCCACCAGAAAGCACATAAAGTCACCAGTTTCAATACATCATTTTCACATTTTACTCATTTAAGCTAAAAATTGTTTTTGCAACAAGATCTTAGGTATTCCAGGCTGGCCTCAAACTCACTGGGTACTGAGGATAATGAGGATGACCTTGAATTTCTGATCCACTTCCTGGGTGCTGGGGATTGAACTCTGTGCTTCATGCATGCTAGGCAAGCGGTCTATCATCTCAGCTATATTCTCCACACTCAAACTATATATATATATATATATATATATATATATATATTATTTTTTTTTTTTGCAGGTACATGAACTCTGAGTCTGTGGCAGTGTCATGCCAAGATTACTGACTTGTCAATTTATGCTACTGTACCCAAGGATGGAAGCTTACATAGTAATGCATGAACTTCTTAAGGAAGCATTGATAAAGTCACTCCATTAACTTAGCATCACATTGTCTTATGGAAAAAGACACAACAAACAAAGCCTGAGGCTCCTTCCTGTGTGTAAGATCAAGGGTATCTGTCTCTAAGTGAGTCCACAACTGTGTCACTATCAGAAGCCCCTGCAGCTCCCAGTTAGAGCTGGGATTCTGTCCCATCAGCCCACTAAACCAGAGCACTCATTCAACTAGACAACTCTTCATATCTGTACTAGTACTTGTAAGACAGCTGTATTAATTAGAGCTAACCATCAACTCCTGGGAGATATGAGTAAATAAAAAGTAAAACGCCCCCAAAAAGCTGATGGGGCAATGTTCTTCTGTATGCTGTGAATATATGTTTCTCTTATTGGAGGAAAGCTGTTTCAGCCAATGATCAGTCATGATTTAGCCAGGTGGGAAATCCAAACAGGAATAGAGAAAGGTAGCAGGGAGATGCTATGTACCGGCCAAGGAACAAGAGAACTGGGTATCACTGATAAGCCAAGACTATGTGGAGATACACAGATTAATAGGAATGGACTAATAATTCAGAGAGCACTAGCCAATAAGAAGCCTGAGCCATAGGCCAAACAGTTTATAATAATATAAGACTCTGTATGTTTATTTGGGACTAAACTGCTGTGGGACAAGGTGGGGACAGAAACTTTTGTCTACACTGAGCGACGGTTCCGGATCCAAAAAACAGAAAGCTAGACCCAGAAAAGATAAAGCACAGAGGCCTCACCTTCCTACTGACTGGCCTGCTTTAACCCCTACCTGGAATTCTTATTTTCTTCCTAACAACAGAAAACACATGAAAAACACAAAGCAAAGGACAGGAAACACTATTAGCTATCTGGTTTCTTTAGCTTAAAATAAAAATAAACTTCCACAGCCCTAGTCAAGACACCAGGTGCTGAAGGTGTCAAAATGAACTTCCATTGACTTTTCACAGCTACATGACACCTGATACTCTGTGCATTCCCTGTTACTGATACCGAAGTACTTTCATTACTCCTTTCTAACAATGAAGTTTGTTTTTAAAGTCAAATGTGGTATAACACACCTGCAGACCCAACACCTGGCCAGTAGAAGCAAAGGATGTAAGTTGCAGGCCAGGCTAGTCAGACTACACAGTGAGATGCTCACACAAAAGGGTGCGTTTTTAAGTTGGGGGTAATGCTCAACTTAGTAAAGGTCATGCTTTGCTTTCATAAGGTCTATCCTTCTGCAACCCCCCCCAAAACAACCCTCCCCTAGAAAATCAGGGTTATATTTAACTGTATTTAATTGAGGGAGCAACAAGATAATTCACTTGCCTGATTTCTAGCTTGCCTGATTACCTGAGTTTGAGCCCTAAGACCAACATGAATGTTCTTTGACCTCCTTGGTATGTGCCCTCTGCCCCACAAAACAACAAAAAAACCCACAAATATTTAATTATATCTAATTGAGAAAGTGTTAATTCTAAGTTAATATTTCACTTTTGTTTAAAGAAACAATCATACACTGTGCTTTTAGTCACAGATACTGAAGAATCTTGGTATTTACAATATTGCTAGAAATCTTTAAAAGGCAAATAAAATGTCAGAAAAACTTTTAAAGACTATACACACACACACACACACACACACACACACACACACACACACACAGCCTGATTTTTAAGAACTCAACCACACAAGACAGGTACCGTTGAAGAGACCCCCCCCCCCAAATTCTCTTTTTAGGTGAAAAAAAATCATGCAAAAATTAGAAATACCATAAAAGATACATACCCCACATTCTGCTACATCCCTGTATTTTCCAAAATGAAGAACCTATTACCAAAACAAAAGACAAAGATTATATACATATAACTAATATTATAAGTTATAAAAGCTCAAGAAGAAAGCAATACATACTCGTGCTTTTGTGTTCTGGTTAACTGTCTCATAAACTCCCATGTAAAACTCAGGGTCAAACATATCCTGAATCATGCAACGAAACTTGACAAAGCTGTTGGGTTTCAAATAATGAAGGGGAACTTCATTCAATGATGGTACCTTCAAAGAAAACAAACAAGCAAGTAAGCAAACTTGTTGTCTGCATACGTCAAGTACAAACACATTCAAAATCTGGCCCTATCTGGAAGCTGACTTCTTCCAAGTTCCTGTGGTAACACTAGACCATAATAGGATGCTTTTCCTTCCAAAAACACGCACAGCTTTTTTTCTTCCCTGCCTGCCTTCTCTATGTTCTGTTTCTTGTTTTCTCTCTCTCTTTTTAAGACACGATCTTAAACTGGGCAGTGGTGGTGCATACCTTTAATCCCAGCACTTGGAGGCAGAGAAGGCTCTCTGTGAGTTTGTTGCCAGCCTGGTCTACAAGAGCTAGTTCCAGCCTCCAAAGCCACAGAGAAACACTGTCTCAAAAAACAAAACAAAAACCAAACAAAGCAAAACAAAAGGACACAATCTCACTTTATAGCTTAGAATGGTCTAGAATTCACTAATAGTCAAAACTGGCCCCATCAGGATCCTTCTGTGTCAGCCTCTTAATGCCCCAGATTGTAGACTCAACTCCTATAAAGGATTCCTGAATCCTTTCAATCAACAGAAAGGCATGTACTTTAATGAGTCCTCTGAATCTTAACATATGCCAATTCTTTTAGGAGGGAACAAAACATAGGTGACAGCTACTCTCAGAAACTAGTAGGAAGGAACAGTCATTTACTGCCACCTAGAGGCACAACTCTGAAGCATTAGACCAAAGCCTTTTAATGCATATGTACTGGGAACAGAAGTATGCACTCATTCTCCTAATCGCACAGGGGTTTCTACTCCACAGAGAAACTATAGCCAGTCAACTCTCTCTCCCTCTAAACAGCGGTAAGCTTACCCATTTAGGAGCATTATTTTCCTTCAGCTTTTCCTTGAAGTATTCAATAACTTTCTTCTCCCAGTCAGGATTAACTCCATTTTGGGCTGAAAGAGAAATAGGGTCATCAAAGCACAACATAGACCAACAGATTATGTTTAAGTCAGTAACATAATAGTTCATACAAATGCAACAGGGACATTCACAGGCATGCCAGGAGCATTAACAATTGAGAGCCGACACCTGTGGAATAGTGTGTGGCTCACCTAGACCAGCACAAGATACAAGAGGTAAAACACTCAGCTCGAAATACTTTTATGTATACTAATACGCCCTTAAATGGAATGCTGTGAATTTTTAAAATCACATTTATTTATTTAGTGTGCTTATATGTGCATGCACACATGCAAGAGACCAGAAAACTAAACTAGGGTAATTTGGCAATAATTTGAAGGTTTTAACCTACATAAAGAGTACAAAGAGCACCTGTGTCTTTGATCCATTTGTCTTATTTGTTGGATCACTCATTACAGCCTTTTCTAACTCATTAAAATTGTATGAATTATATTCATTTGCCTTCTAAATATTTCACTGTGTTTCTTAAGATTATCATAAGTTTAAACAGCTATTATAACACTTAAAATACTATTTTTAAAAAGATTTAGTGTAACTGTGTGTGGTATGTAGACATGAGCACAGGTGCCTGAAGAGGCCAGAAGAGGGCACCATCTCTCCTTGAACTAGCATTCACCTAAAGTGATGGGAACTAAATCTGGAGCCTTTGCAAGAGCAGTTAAGTGTTCTTAACCACTGAGCCAGCTCTACAACCAACCATCTACGTGGTGAATAAGAATATTTTCCATTAGCCTCCTGATGGTGGCACAAGCCTTTAATCCCAGCATTGGGGAGGATAGAGTGAGTTCTAGGGCAGCCAGTGCTACACAGAAGAACCCTGTCTTGAAACAAATAAAAACCAAAACAAATGTGGTGCTTTGAAAGAAATGGCCTCCAAAGGGAGTGGCACTAAGGGGGTGTGGCCTTGTTGGAGTAGGTACGGTCTTGTTGGGGAAGGATATCACTGTGGAGGAGTCCACTTCCTGTTGCCTTCTAATCAAGTAGCCAGCATGCTGCTATGCTCCCTGCCATGATGATAATAGACTGAACCTCTGAACTATAAGCTGCTGCCTCAATTAAATGCTTTCCTTTATAAGAGTTGCTGTGGTCACAGTGCCTTTTCACAATAATAGAAATCCTAAAGACACCAAACGAACAAAACAAACCCAAACAAACCACCCAAATTGTTTAAATAAATTGGGCTGAACATGGCAGTGTCTGTAATCCCAGCAAGAATTCCTGCCTAGGCTCTCTAGCAAGACCTCCTACCCCTAAATTAATTCTGGATTTGTGTGATGTTTCCTATGATTCCAAGTCATTGTTTTATTTGAAGAGCAAATGCACAGAAAGCATGACTAAAATAAAATGCAGTTTCCATGCTAAAAAAAAGTTCTATGTCACCAAAACACCATGAAACCAAGCCTTTTTTACCTGATCTTTCAAGATCAAGAATCAAGAACAGAAGGGACCAGCCACACAGCCAGCCACAGAATAAGAAATAGAGACTAGTAAAAGCCCAGAGGCAAAAGGTAGATGGCTCATTTAAGAAAAGCTGGCTAGAAATAAGCCAAACTAAAGCCAAGTATTCATAAGAAAGAATAAGCCTCCATGTGTGATTTATTTAGGAACTGGTGGTGGGTTCCCAAAGAGCCATAAGAGTTAAAAAACAATCAAAACACAGCAGATCTCTGTGAGTTCAAGGCCAGTCTGGTCTACAAAGCAAGTTCCAGGCCAGCTAAAGTTACACAGAGAAACCCTGTCTCAAAAACCCACAAACAACAGCAACAACAATAAAACCAATATCCTTAATCACTGGATTACCCTGTGCTCCTTAAGAGAGAGGGGAGAGAGAGAGAGAGAGAGAGAGAGAGAGAGAGAGAGAGAGAGAGAGAGAGAGAGAGAGAGAGATCCTAAAAACATTTTGCTAAGGGAGACTTAACCATATAGGACTTAACCTTAACAAATAGGATGGTTCCACTTAGTATGAGAACTAGACCAGGCCAGTTCATAAAGACAGCACAGTGGAGACTATGTGAGGGGCTAGATGAAAGGCAAATTGGATAGTTTGTGATTATGGTATACAAAATGTCCTGGCAGAGCTTATACTCCCCATAACTGAAGGCCAAAATTGGCAACCTTGAAACAAGGAAATTATCCAGGAGAGAGATTGAGGAGAAAATGTGTAACAAGCTGGCTAGGTACCCAGCAGAGGGGGTGGCTTAGTTCCAGCCCAACCCAGCCCAGACTACACAGTAAGAACCTGTGACAAACAAATCAGAGTGATTAAAAAAAAAAAAAGGTACAATTTGTTGATTTTAAAGGAAGAGGCCCAGGTCATTTTGTTTGCTTTGTTTTTTTGAGACAGAGTTTCTCTGAGAACTTACAGAGATCTGCCTGTTTCTGCCTCAGAGTGCTGGAATTAAAGGCATGGGTCACCACCACCCAGCCTGGCCAAAGCCATTTTAATACAGGCAGACTCTTATGGGACATGAGGGGATGGGTAAAGTATGTGCAAGGGACGAACAACAACCTAGGGTCTCTCACTGGCCTGGAACTTGCCAAGTAGGTAGGCTGCACAGGGATTTGCCTATGTCCACCTCCCCAGTGCTGGGATTCAGGCCATGTACTTACTCTCAACCCAGGTTTTATATGTGAGTTCTGGGATTGAACTCAGGTCATCTTACTTGTAAGAGGAGCATTTTACCAAGTGAGTTATTTCTCAGTCTGGTAGCCAGGCTCTTTAAAACTAAGAGAGAAAAGGAATTAGATTCTCTCTCTCAGAACCTCCTGATAGGGATACAAATCCTGCTTAGATTTTTATTCCAGTGATATTCATTCCTGGCCTCTAGAGCTGTAAAGTTAACGAATCTGTATTGCTTCAAGCCACTGTGCTTGGTATGTTACTGCAGGAACAGGAAGCTGCTGAATATGTATATCAAGAGGTCCTCTGTTACTATCCTTCAATATGTACAGTCTACGGTGGTATTACCTCCTTATTCCTGGTATGGGTAATTTGTGGTCTTTTTTTTTTTTTTTTTTTTTCTTGGCTAGTCTAGCTATGGGTCTATCAATTTTGATAATAAAAAAGAAATAAAAGATTAGGGATGTATTTCGGTGGTTCAATCCCCAATACTCTCCAAATCCCTAAATACATACTTAAAGAAAAAGCAAAGAGGGGCCCGCAGATGTAGCTCAGTTGGTAGTGTCTAGCATGCATGAAAACTGAGGTCACTTGCATAAACCAGGTGTGGTGGTGCATGCCTGCACTCTTAGCACTCAGGAGATAGAGGAAGGAGGATCGGAAAGTTAAGTTCATGCCACTGAAATAACTTGTCAAGCAGACGTGCTTGCTACCAAAGGTGATCCTTGCCTGAGCTCAATATCCTCAAAGAAGGAGAGAACCTAGACCCAAAAGTTGTCCTCTGATTACCATATGCACAATGTGCAATGTGTACAAATTTCCTGAAATATTAAAATAAAATGTTGTAAGAAAGGTTTAAGATCACCTTCACCTACTAGTGAGCATGTACATGAAAAAGAAAACTTTCACTGATGTTTTTTCCTTATGTTTTAAATCCTTGATTTCTGTTCTTCCTTCATTATTTCTTTTTTAGTCTTCGTTTCTGATTTTATATAAGGAAACAATGCTTGAAGCCTTCTTTTCAACTACAAACACAGCACTATCTCTGGTTGTACTTAGAGAATGTTCTTATGTTTCCATTTTTGTTTGGCTGAAAATAATTTTAAGTTTCATAGGGACTTTTTTCTGATCTATTGACTGTTTATAAGTGTTCTACAAGTCTGAGTTTTTCCATTATCTTTCTGATTTAATACCCTCTTATTACAGATCACATATGATGATTTCCCTTCTTTGAAGTTTGTTGATTCTTGTTCATAACTCAGAATGATTGTTCTTGGCCATTCTGGGGCTAGGAAGAGAGCACACTGAGTGAGCCTGCGTGGTTGATGGACACTCTCAGAGCTTCAGGAGCTCTAACTTCCCAGTTACTGTAAGAAGCAGCACTCTTCAATGGTGTTGCCCATGTTCCACACCCTTCAGCTCAGCAGTACCAGCATGCCTTCTAAAGCTTTGATGCTGGCAAACAGACCTACTGTAAAGCTCTGTGTCTTTTATTCTCATCATAAGACAGCTTTAAAAACTATTTTAAAACTTGAGGCTGCTGGGCTGTGGTGGCATACACCTTTTAATCCCAGTACTCCAAAAGGCAGAGGCAGGTGGACCTCTATGAGTTCTAGGCCAATCTGGTCTACACAGAGAAACCCTGACTCAAAAAAATCAAAAACAGACTTGGGGCTGGAAAGATGGCTCAGCAGTTAAGAGCACTTACTATTCTTGGAGAGGATGAGGGTTCAGTTCCCAACAACCTCTGTAACTCTAGTTCCAGGGGATCTGGCACCCTCTTCTAGCCTCTGCCAGCACCAGGCAAACAAAGGTTGCACAAACATACAAGAAAGCAAAACACCAATACACATAAAACAAAATAAGAAAGTTTAAAGATCTTAAAAAAGAATTAGTTCAATTGACAAGACTAATGAAAGGCTAGGAATAATGTTATATTTCTGTTCAGTAAGAAAGAGCGCAACACAAATACACCTCAATTATCACAACTCAACTTGATGTGCACACCTGTAATCCCATCACTCAGGAGGTTGAGACAAGAGGCATTGTCACAAGTTACAGGGTACCCTGGTCTACATTTTGAGACCCTGTCTCAAAAACAAAAGAATAAAAACATAACACTGCCTGTTAAGAACATAACAGATATATTTGCCCTAACCACCTCAAGTACCCAAACAAAAGAACCAAAACAAAGTGAATAACAATCATAATTAAGGACTTTAACAAGGGCATCTGAGAAACATAAAGTGGACCTAGAATATAAGGTAGTCTAGGGAAATGGTTCAGTGCACACGAGCATAAGGACCTGACTTCATGTCTCCAGCATTGATGCAATTAGCCAGGTAGGGCACT